ATCTATAAGAATAATGAAGTTTGGTTAATCTGTAATTAGGTAAAGATATATGATAATTTCCTCTGGTGCCATAAGAATGCTCTGTCTTATAACATTATTAACAATTTGTTTTTCATGTATAAAAGACACTCTAAAATAAAACAACATGGTAGTGGTAGTAGGCAGATGGCCGATTGTAAATCCCTTTTAACATTTTAGAATATCCCAACCAGCTTACCTGTTGTGTAATTCATATTCAAAGGATGATGTCTGATAATTTAAATGAAGTCTAAAAATAAAACTAACCTCTTAACCAGCAAAAAAATTAATAAATATTGAATAATATGAAGGTATTTAATTTATTTCTTAGGTTTTACTCTCATTCTATTTTCTTAACAGACATTGTCCTTATAATTTTATCTAAATTTCTACTTTTGAAATCTAGTGGCGCCACCGGGTATGCTTTTGATCTGAACTTTAATATTAATTTAACCCTACTGACGACCTATAGTGCTCACTGACGAAAGGCATGTAGTTTGTAAGGGGAAAATTTCTTTCTCTAGACAAGATCACGGAATACAAAAACATACTTGTCAACCTAAATTAAACTTCGTACTTAAAAAAAAAGATCGTTTAAGGTTACGATAGTTTAATAACTCAAGGGTACAGAGTTAAAAAAGATGAATGCCCAAAAATCGGGATTTTGAGATTAATATGTGAATTCATACCTAAAATACATTAGAATCTAACAGTCTTCGAACCAGCTAAAACCAATGAGAGTCACAAGTTACGGAAAATTTTAATAAACGTGTTCAGAGCAATAAAGATGAATGTCCCGCCATGTCGGTTAAAAAAGATGAATTTTCACTGGCGATCACGTGTTTAGTTCAGAACAAACGTGAAAATTTAAATTACATTCACAGGGGGCATAGTTATACAAGTAGCATAAAACTCTACTACTAGCAAATAATGCTGGACCTGAGTATTAAATACTCTATTAAGCAGTTAAAGAAGGCTTTACTTGAGCATTCATTTGAAGCTGTCCCAATTAGCCCAATTAGCAATGATTGCCAACAGGTCACAAACAGATGTCAAACAATGCATAGCTAATTTGCATTTCAATTAGATTTATGCATACATAAATGCTTCAGAATATTAAGGACATATCAATCAATCCCAAAACTTGGTTGGAAATTCCAAGAAAAATTACTGTTGAGCCAACAGACAACGGTCAATATTGTCATGGAGAAATTCTTAAATAGTCTAATAACATAACCTCACAAATTTTAATCAAAAAGCTACCAAGCGGCACTTTCGTCATCTAAATAGTATTCAATGCCAGTAAGCTTTATTTATGTTAGCATCGGCGAGTGCTTATTTGATGACGGCAAATAAATATGAATGGCCTGTGTTGTCAAGTATTGCCAAAACGTGCGAAATTAAAAGGATTCTAAGAAATTAGACATTTTAAAGTATTTGTTGCACATTACCGGACTCCCATTAATGCATAATTACTTGACAGCAGTTGCGAAAAAATAGTAAGTACGAAAGTATCTAATCCTGAAGTTTACGTCGCCGCGTATTAAGCATGCGAGTCTATGGGAGATTTTATTTTTTTTGCATTTTTTTAAATTGTGTGTGTTATATGTCATCAAACCATATATATATTTTTTTTACTTTCCATTTTATTTAGTAATCTCATATACCTGAATGAAAATTATAACTCCACAGGTTAACATATCCTATTAAACTCAAAATTCTCTTCTTAATAGGCAAAACGTTCTTATTCATTAGGTATTTCTTTGCGTATTTCCCATAATACTCCTGTTGAACAATTACGGAATAATGGGATACTCTATATAGAGGCACAAAAGTATGTAAATATATAAATTCGATTTTTTTTTTTATTAGTCTGATTTACTTTAGAGTAGGTATGTGGGACAGATTCGTGAGAATGTTCATAACTACCGTACAGTTGCTTCTCTTGATACAGTGAATATAATTACATCCATCGCATGAATCAGTACCTAAATATATTGATTAAATTAACCCTTTAACGCCCAAAATTATTTATCGAATTGATTTCAACGTAACGTTAGTCAGGGTGCTTGGGGGTACCTAAGGAACCATTTCAATGACATTTTTTGGTCATATGCTATGTCACTATGTTTATACCTACCGGTAAACCATTTCACCAGAGAGCATTTAGCATAAAATATGTTTTAAATGTTCCCTGGTAAGAACGGTATACCACCTATATTTTTTATGTTTTTATAGGGGCTTTTCATTCTTTTGGGAGTATATTTCAATCCAAGAAATACATATTATTTCCAAAATAAGTATGATATATTACTAAGCATTTTACAAAATAATAATTATTGTTGATGGAAAGGTACAAAACAGTCTTAGAACATTGCTGACATCGCCGCATTGTTGTTTTTCTGGGAAAATGATCACCGTTTCCAAACAAGCCTACAAGTTGTGGAGGTCCAGGCTTCTTCCTTGCTGTGAAGTTTCCGATAAGTTGAACAGCAAGTTTGCTCCGAAATTAAAAATGAGTCATTGGTTTTTCACGCGGATTTGTAGATTTCAAGGTTTCCTTGAAGAGTATGTAGAAATTCACGATACCGGCATCAACGAAGTAATAGAATAGTTTCATCAACCATCTCCTGCTTTTTCAACCTATGCAATAAGCAGCCATCGTCTGATCAAATCTGTCGACACCTCCCATAAACATATTATACTCCACAATTGATTTTGGACAGGCTATGCTTTTCCTTTCCCCCACTCTGTTTGTCGGAAGAACCTGTCCAGTATCAGCCACATTATGTAAGTTGCTGCATACTGTCACAGCCTTTTTTCCACGATCTTTCCATTTAGAAATGGATATTTCATTACAGGTAGCAAAGTCATATTGTCCAACGGTTATTTTTTGTCTTCTAATAATTTATGTTTGGGAAAATTCGTATGTTATGAAAGTTTTGACTTCTTGACCAGTACTTTCGCATTTGAGGCAAAGAGTTGAAACCCATTATAATTAAGACTCCCATAAAGGCTTTGAGCTCTTCCACCGATAAATCTAGCCTTTTGTTGCTTTGTGTTGCATTCAAATTAGATTGTTCAACAATTTTGTCCAAAGCGCAAAATCATCGATCGCTGTTTCGTCAACAAATTCTTGCTCTTCCTCGCTGTCGCTTTTATCTAATGCCGGCTGGAGCAGTCGTGGTTCGTCAAGCTTATACGTTTTATCTGCAACGGAATCATCAGAATCATAATCAATGAAATCTTTTTCTGGCGTAGATGGGACATCTGGGGAGAATATCATTTTTCTTTTCCTGGTTCTTAGTTCGGGTGTTGATAGTCCTGATGAAGAAGGTGTGGCAGAATCATGAGATCCTCTGGTGGTACTTGGAGTTACAGGTTCATTAGAAAATTAATCTTCTGCATCTGAGTCGCCGTTTATGTCTGAATTTTCTGCATGATCTTCCGTAATTTCTGATAGAGCCTCTGCGAGCTCAGCATCAGTAAGTGCTTTTTTCCAGACAATTCCGCGTTCCATTCTCAGACTGAGATAATAAAAATAGTATCAAAGTACAAAATAAATAAAAATAGTACCTAACTGTATTTCTTTGGATGAGTAAAAATAATCGTCAATCTATTAGATGTACCCCCATATAAAGAGGTAGGTACTACCAGTACCTGTGGCGGTACCACTTTTTATCGAAGTACTACCTGTATATACCAAAAAAATACAGGTCGTGTTTATCATATTTCCTAAACATCTATTTATTTTTATATTATATACTCCCCCAAGAGACCGACCGCAATATTTGTTGAAAAAAAAAATTCCCCATATTTGGTGTAATATCACATACTTTCGCAAATATTTACCGAGCGTACTATCCGGTCGATCATAAAACGTTTGAAACTTAGTGCTATATACCTAGGAAGTAAATATTTGTTATGCTGCCCTCAAAAATACTGAGAAAACGTGCAAATTATTTTCATGAGTTTGAGCTATTTTTAACCTCAAAAATTACTTGATTTCTCATACAACGAAATGAGGGCTTGAAAATAAAATAAATCGAAATCGAACTATTTTACGGGGTACAATATATCTCCCTAATTGAAACACCTATTAGATTCAATTGATTATCACGAAAAACACTTTATTTTACCAAAACTGTTGCGCCACTACATCAACAACAAAACTTTTGAGCCGGAATGTCAAATGGTATGAGTGTTATACCACTCGAAAGAAATTTCCCGCCAAAAGTAGGATACACCCTTCTTCGCGACCTTGGGTAGCATAGAGATGTTGTAAGAGGTTGCTACCGATCGATCCGAACGATTTATGATATCATCAGAGTAAGGATTTGCCAAGCACATGCCTGAATGATGCTGGTATATGTGTAAAACCAGAGAGCGTTAAAGGGTTAAGAAGAGGAAGGTGACAAATTTTAGGGAAGTGAGGAAAGGTTAACTCGAGTTATTAAAGTGGAGAAGAATATTTAATAGTTGATAGAACCGATTCCAAGTATCCTAGACAAGGAACTGTCTACATAAATTAACAAATTAAGATACCAGGAATCAGTTGTATGAGCTATTGGGGTAAGAAGAATGTGGAGAGTAGGGGGACAACAGAAAAAAGCTGAGCATCGTGCTAAAATTTATAGAAGCGCCAAAGAGGGAACATTAATAGGTCTAACACAGTTCCTTTAAAAGCCCCAAAACTAGAATTTTGTAATTTCACCCTTCAGGTGACACAACCTGTGTTGACATTAGCCGAAATTTTTTAAACAGCTTTACTTTGTAGTATCATACTTTACCCACTGTAGCGAGGTTTTAGTTTAACAGTATGCAACGTTGAAGTCAAGCAAACTTGTTACCAACTATTTACTGGGAAAACGGCTACCCTAGTTCTCAGTTGCCCACTCTGTATAATTATGAAAAATCTTATAGAACAATGAAACTGTTCGTTTATCATTTATTAATTAAACCTAAAAGGAAAAATAACTTACCACCATGTAAGTGAGGTTGAGAATTCTGTAAATCGTTCTCTAACTTAGCAACCATATCTCTATAATCTGAAACGATTTTTTCCAAATTGTCGATGCGCTCTTTCTGTGATTGTACTTGACTCGAAACACTACCAACTGTTGTTGTATTTACATACATGGTAAGATCTCTTTCATATGAATCTAATTGTAGTCTGTAGCTGTCTCGTTCTCGACTTACTAACAACAACTTTTTCTCCATTCTGTGGATTAACATCTGTTTTTGTTCGCTGGTTTGTTTGAGTTCTTTGATCAGTTTTTGGCATTTTTCAACTTCAGACTTTGCAATTTTAGCTTCCTAAAATAAAAATCCTTTCTTATTATTTAAAATTTAATTAAACATTTAAGATTCAATTCAAATTTGATTGGTATCTTCAAAAGGGTGCTAGCCTAACCAAAATAATTAATAATAATAAAAAAATGTTTATTTTATTTTCTAAATTAGTAAAAGCATTATTTTAAAATTAGTAATTTTTTCTGAATGACCTAAAATAATTTATTAAATTTGTAGATTTTCGTTAGTGGGTCGTAGAAATGTTATACTGTACAATTCGAGTGAATTGTACATATCACACTCAAACGACTGAGCACTCGGCCTACGTGGGATATGGCCATCATATCCACTCTTGTTGCACACTACTATTTGATGTTATAGTTAAGTTGAAAATTAGTGGGATGATCTCATCGCCTTTCACTGCGACCCAGATGGACATTTGTAATTCATGTCAAACTTATAGTTCACAATACAAGCCACACCTTTTGATGAAGGCCATGGTTGAATTGAGTGAAACTTGTTTAAAATCAGTGAGCTCCAGTCAGGTGAATCCGAAGATCTGGAACCTAGTTCTTTCCAAAGCAGAGCAGGTACATATAATGTGACCTGCAGTTTCGTCTTCCACACTGCAGTATCGACAGTCCGATGTTTGTTGCAGACCTATTATTCGCATGTGGTTACCTAAACAATAATGTCCAGTCATATGTCCCATGAGAATGAGTAGTTCTTTCCTACTCTATTCCAGGAATTGAGCAGGTATAAATGCCTTCGAATGAGTTAGCCCTGGGGTATATCTCCAGTACATGAGAGTAACAGCCTCTGTTCTTTTTGAGATAATTCCTTTGGCAGTGCTTTTCTACTTTTTCATTGCCATGCTCACCACTGTGTCCCGGCATCCAGATCAAGGTAACTTTGTTCCAGGCACCGAGACACTCAGGTTTTGAGTCAACTAGATTGGAACTCATGGCCTTGAGGGCTATCTGGTTATCCAAAAAGATGTTTATAGTCTTGTTGGGGTTAGGAGAAAAGGAATCAACTCTCTCACTCCCAATTTTATAGCAATCACTTCTGGTTGGAAGATCTTTTGCAGAGTGCCCAGGTTTATTGATATGTCAACTCTGGGCTGCTAGCCGGAAACTCCCACTTCTACTCCTTTTTCAGTTTTGGAGCTGTGATATTGGAAAATGTTTAATTTTATTTGTTTTAAATAAAAAAAGGTGAAAACAAAACCAATTCACCATTCATTTAATTTACAATGAGACGTTCAAGGATATCTACATCTACAACAAAAAGTATACAGTCTATATGGTCCACACATTCTCAGATAGCTGCTGCTGACAGCAACAAATTAAAAAATATTTCGAACAAAGGTATGTAGGTAGGTAAAAGCACTTATTTGTTAAAAAAAAAAATAATAATAATAATAATAAGTTAATGCATACATTTATAATAATGAAATGCGTTATTCTAACAAAAATATTTAAAATTATCGAATAAATTATAAATGTTATATATTTTAATGTTTTTACTTACATGAGTTACAGTTTTAAGTTGGGATTTCATTTCAACTTTTTGTGCCGTCAAACTAAGCTCTCGTTGCTGCAATCTCTCAACGATATTTCTTAACTGATGAGGCAAAGAGGAATCACAATCCATTGACTCACAAATTCCCCTTGCCACAGCTCTCCATTCATTCAAATACATAACATTCTGGGTTTCCTGAATCTATTGAAAAATATTTATTTTATCTATTTAATCAAAATAATAAATACCAATTTTTAGATTGTCTTTAAACTCCATTTATTACAATTTAATTGCTTAATGACATGCTAATATTTGAGGGTGTGATTAATTAGCTCATTTTTTAAAGAAATGATCATATGACCCTATGTATTATGTCCACAGTAGGTTTTTTCAGGTTTCTATAAAATTTGATGAAAACTGTCTGAGAACCAGTGGAACAGTTCAATTCCAAATTATTCGTTGCATACAACTATTAAAATGTCGACTGGTCAACTAGTCCTCTGACAGTTCTTCGACGTATATTTTTGAAGAACCCGAACATACTTTAAGACTTAATTTTTTTGCTACAGGGTATTGAACATTTTTTAAACATTATTTTTTAATGTCCCTGCAAGTACTTCAAATATCATTTTTAATTTAGGTATGTTTTAATATTATATTAAACCAAATGTTTGTTATAAAACTTATTCTATTCCTTTACCAGTAGGGTCCTTGCAAACATGTCCTGATATTTTTTCTGATTAGTCTGGTGAATTTTACATGAAACAATCTCATGCGTTTTTCTTTCAACATTTTGTGAAATAAGGTTATGAATTTTTCAGTTATTTATATAAAAAAACTATTATTGCTTTTTAAAACTCACAGGCTTTTACAGTGTCAATCAACAGACTGGTAGTTGTAAAGTAAGCATATAATATGGAAGGATAGATACATTTATAAATAAAATTATTTGGAGAGGCAAACTCTCGGATCTTGAAATATTCAACATCATCGGTTGAGAAGAAAACTATCATATGTACATTTTTTTTTTTTTTTGAAAATAACTAAAACCAAAATGGACTCCCATCTATTTAATAGTTATAAGTTACAATGAGCTATAATAATAAATAAGTTAAAATAAAGTACAATAATGGAAACCAATTATATATTAACTAGCACCTAGGTGAAAACACCTGTATGTGCTGACAAAAATTAAAATTTTATTTTAATTATATTTAATGAATTATAAAGGAAATAAAGAAAAAAAAAAACATTTTTATTAAATAAAAAAATCAAACTTGAACAATTTATGCAAGAAACAGAAAAAAAAACTATTTAAAAAAATCCATGTATTAAGTCCGTTATTCTTGGAATATTCTGATAAACTTTGCATTATTTTGGAAAATGTATAATTTGTTAACTTTACAGAATTTTTTATATTTGTTTAAAAATTTTATATGAAGAGGTAGAGAGCGTTATAGAACTTTGTCCATAGATAATTTACACTGTTTTTAAAAAACTCACTATTTGGTTTTGGTACTTTAATGCACATGTTCGATGCAGTTCTAGTGTTATGTCTATATTCTAAAGGGTTTTTTAAAAATTCATTTTTTTGTATATAACAACACACTGCGTGAATTTATAAATATCTAACATTGCTAATTTTTTTCATTATATAAAGTTATGGTGGGATATAGCAGTTCCATTTTAAGTGCTGGTCTATAATTATACCTAGATATTTGGATGTTTCTGTTTCCTGTATGTCTAAATTTTGACATGTTAAGCTTATAAATTAAGGTCGATCAGCCACTGTCTTTGAAAAAGCAATGTAGTTTGTTTTGTTAACATTCAAAGACAATTTAAAAACATCCAGCCAGTTTTTGACATGTTCCATTCCAACTATAGCACGTGTCTTGAGGGCTTCCCAATCTTTATCACTGAAGACTAGCACTATATCATCAGCATATGATACAACTTTACCTTGAATATCATGTATAAATTAAATAGTATAGGTCCCAGAACAGTCCCTTGCGGCACTCCTATTTAATTCTATCTTGTGCAATACTATTCAATATCCTAAGATGACGTATGTGGAACAAAAATTGTCTAGAATTGTCTTTGTTATAGGGCAATAAAACTTTCAAATTTGTAACACTCAAAACTAATAGAAATTATTCAAAACCGACAATATTAAAACAATCTTGGGCATATTCTATGGGGTGAGCATCATAGTTTCAAAACAGACTTTTTAAATCTGAAATAGTCCAACATTAGACTAGACTACATCATTTTAAAGTCACGTCAGTCTGACTTAAAATACAGAAATATGATGAATCTTACCTGCAATTCTGAAAGCTTCTTTTCATAATCTTTAAATTTGACAAGCCTGTTTTTCAAATCAAACACTTCTTCTTCAAGAATTAATTTATTTTTTACTTGTTCTTTCAACCTCTGGCTTTCTTCTCTTAACTGATCATTCTCTTTTTCAAGCTCAATATATCTTGCTAATCTTTGAGCTTGGATCTAAAATAAAACATTTTTGTCTAACAAAATAACAGACAAACAAAAGTAAGAAACAAGAAAATGAGCATTCTTTAATAAAAATTAAAACATACATTTATAAAACACTAGGCAAAAAACTAACGTACATCCACCTTTCTCTTGCCTAGAAGTATAGAGTGATCTACAGAAAAATGTTTCGAAAGTAGGCCTTGGAAAAAACACACATGTTGGAGTCTAGAATTCTTCTTCTGATTTTTAAGTGTCAGTTTGACCAGTTTGGAAATTATTCACAGACATGCGTAGTTATAGTCTACTTTAGAAATATTTTTGTGAATCACTCTTTGCATTGGAATCAATTATCATCAAATAACATCAAATATTGTTGTTTATGCTGTACCTTTGCCTGTTCTTGAAATTCTCCAAAGCCTTTTGCAGCATATTCCAAATCTTTAATAGTTAATCTTGCATTTAACAATTCCTGTGTCTTACGTTCCAAATTTGTTTGGAGAACATTGTCTTCACTTATTCTTTTGCCTAAAACGATTTTTTTGTTTAATTTTGCCTGCTTAGTTTTACTTAGAAGCAGTTGCATCAATCTAATTACAAATACATTAATAATTAAAATGAAAGTGAATCGGTTGGGATTTGAAAAACTAAAATGCAATTTTGTAAATATGAAAATGAATAATCCCCAATTCTCCCTACGAAATTATTCCGAGGTCCCAGGTTCGACTCCCAGACAAAGCACTCATTTTTTCTTTCTTTTGTACGCTAATTCAGTGATGATGTAATTTTTGTTTGCAAATAAAGTGACAGTAGACTTTATGAGTGCATTTTGTTTACCTAAATTACAACGTTTTGTTAACTTTTATAAATATATTCCTAAAGTAGATAACATGCATCAAATATCAATAATTTAGCAACCAATTACATACTTTAACTATATTTTATCACCTGCAAAACAATATTTAGAAAAAAAAAAAAAAACTAAAACCTGTAAAAACAGGGGGGCTTATAACATGCGCGTTATATCAACAGGTTAGTGCGCAACACATCCGCGCATATCAGTCCGTTTTACAATAATAAAATGATATTTAAATTTAAAGTACACTGAATAATTGAATAATTCAAATATATTTCGCTTAATAACAAAAGTAATACACGGTAAGTATTGTTTTAAAATTATATATTTATATAAATACTACAATTATTTGAAAAACATGAATTAATCAATTATTTTACAATGTAAATCTGACTTTGGGATTGTCACCCGTTCGAACCGATACAATAACAAAACTGAACAAAACAATATGGTTATGGTTGCTGAATAAAACGTGGTAAGTACTTTTACTTTTATTTAATTTTAGTTTTAGTTAAACATGTTAAATTTAAAATTAAGCAAAGATATTTTGATGTTTTAACATGTGTTTAGCAGGTCCTGTTCGTAATAAATTCATAATATCTAATTGTAATAGCGTTGTTTGTATAAAGGCATATAAAGGTAAATAGTACAATTTACTGTCCAATTTATGCTGTACATTTTAAGAACACATTTTTTTATTTCCTTCCAATATTAAGCAAGGAACTAAATGATGCCGCATAAACTTCATCATTCCACTTGCGAAAAACCATTTATAGGTTACAAGACTGTAAATTGGCTTTAGCTTTGGTACCCTTGAAAGCTAAATTAACAGTAAAGAGTAATACTAAAGTAATATTGTTATCATACCGTCAAACAAATTACCAGTGAAAAAAAAGTTACATTCGATTAAAATTTCATCCAATGAAATATAATTATTACCTAAAAACAATAATTAGCTCTTGGATTTTTAAATCAATCCAGTGAATGGTTAGCTCCAAGGGAGAAAAAACTCTATTTTATAATTAGAAAACAGCAAAGTAAAATTTGCGAATCAAAGAAGGACCTCAAAGCTTGATCTCCCGCAGACATCTGTTTTTTTAAAAGTACTACATCTAATTAAAAGATGAAGGGACTACCATTATTAATTATAAAATATTATAATGAAAGTATAAAACTGTGACAATGTCTAAAAGAAAAAAGAGATTCAAAATGATATGAAGTTAAAATACTACTTTGAATTTTTTCTGTTTCAGATTATATGGATGGTTCTCCTTAATGTGTTCGTGTTTTGTTACCTACCCAAGTTTACAGAAAGTTTTAGTTGTTTTATTAAAATATTGTTTATTTAGAAAATTTATTATAAATTAGTTTTAATGATATAATAGATAATACAATTATTTTATATTACATTATTTTACCCTTCCTAAAATTATGGGTCATAAAATTTTACATTTTGATTAGCATTTTGTTACATCTTGCACCTTGTTTGTGTTGTAAAAAATGCCAATAAAAATGAAAAATTTTAGTTATACTAATTAAAGTAGAGCTACAAACAAAATCCCGCTAATTTTTAAATAAAATAAAATATGCAGGTATCTATATTACCGACTGAGAAATAGTTGGACAAATCCCTTACCGGTGGCGCTGCAAGCAAACCTGTTGCCATATTTCTTCAAAGAAACGGCAACTCTTAATTATCCTTCCTCCATGTGTAAAAACGTGTATGTCAAATTCAATTATGTTTCTGTTAGAAGTTAATTGTCATAGTCCAGGATCCGTAAGTAAGGTCGACCTTTACCCATCTGTTTAATGGATAAAAGTTATTTTTTATTAAATACAATATATTTTAAGCTATTGCATAGCTTTTATCGCGAGCTTTGAGCGCGGCGACCGAATCAAGAAATTCCGTAACGACCGTAACGATTATTTAAATATACCGCAAATGGGTTGCCTAAGAAAATATGGTCACGACAATTTTTTACTTTCCTCTCTGTGCACAGATAAGGAAAGTATAGGAATTTTGTCTCTATACATGATTTTCCTAAAATGGACCAAATTTGAGATATTTGATGAAAAGTGCAAATTTCGAATTTTGAAGATAACTCAAAAACGGATGAAGAGAAAAACACCAAATTTTGAACTTAAGCTTTAATCTATCCTATGATGAGCTGATTAGAGTTTGGGTACAATCAAAGCATTTGGGGAATACTTTACAGGGTGTCGTTTTTTTTTACTTTAAGAAAAGAAAGTTTCATCCATTAAACAGATGGGTGAAGGTAGACCTTATTTCGGATCTTAGACCATAAGTAGTTATAATAAGGAAAAAGATTTTAAGTGATTTTTTCGACTCTATTAAAAAATAATATTATGAATAAAAAATTATAAAATTATATTTAATTAATGGAAAGTGGAACCAAAATTGCACAACCCTAATATGGCGTAATCTCATCTTTTTCAATTTTTCTTTGGTTTGTTTCCACTTTTGGGGATATGAGTGTGTATTTTTCATAATGTCGTAGGGGGGATTGGGGATTATTCATTTTCACATTTCCAAAATTGCATTTCAGTTTTTCGGATCTTAACAGACTTTTTTCAATTCACTTTCTTTCATTTTCACGTTTATGGTGGACCAGACAAGAAAAATTTACATTTGTGAATGAATGAAGGATCTTAGAAATGTTTTCTAGTACAATTTATATTGTCACAGGGGTGACTTTAAGAAGAATTGAAGGAGCTGAGATGGGATGAGAATTTGTGTGCACCGACGGAAGAGTCGGAATCTGATTAACCCTTTTGGTCCAGGCGTACACTGTAGTGCACGCAAATTTACACGTTTGTAAATTTAAAATAAAATCCATTTTTAACCATTTACACTTCTGTGTACTCTACAGAATCAACGTAACCTAACGTGACGATCTCGAGTTTGAAAATTATAATCGTAAGAAGTTTTTTGTCAGCAGCAAGCAAAGAGTAAGGAAATTATCGTGTAGATGTCGCAACGTACTTACATGATTTACTGAAAACACGTTATATTGGGTCCATAAAATTATTTGTTGTGTAAACAATGTTTGATAAATTAGTAGGATTAAAAGTTTGTTCATTTGTTTATACGGTCGTCTAATATAAATAAATGTATGTATTAATTATAGGGGGTGGGTTGACTCACTGGTTACAGTCATGACTTTGAGATCGAAGGGTCTCAGGATCGAATCCCACCGGTGGCAGGAATTTTTATTTAATAAAAAAATTAAATATTAATTCTAATGCATAGGTAGGATTCCCCACTCGACCATTCACTGTTGGGTTCTAATTAACAGTGTTGTTCATTAAGTGGCGCTGGGAAACAGTAACAAAGCCTACACAGAACACACATGATTAAGAATTCAAACACAAATTGAGTCTGGCATATTAGGCCATAAATCGAAAAAAAAAAATGTTAATTTTAGTTTCATTTTGTTGTCGTATTATGATATAATAAAGAGTAAAATACTGATATTTAGTTATTTTTTAGACATATAAATGTATATATTTTAAGTCTCAGCATAAACTATAGTGTATACATACTTATGCCTATAGATCCCAGTGTACACTGTAGTACACATATCAATACTCAAAAATAAAACAAATTAAGAACATGTGACAAAAATTAAAAATAACAAAATAAATTAAGTAACTATTATGCCAAATTTCAAATTTTTTACTCTTAAACAAAAAAGTCGGTGTCGAAAGGGTTAACTTCAAATCTACAAATTCGGATATCAAATCATATGTGCCTTGGTAGCTCAGTTGGTAAGAGTATGGACAGCTAAAGACCAAGGTTACAGGGTCGATTCCTGGCTGATACACTCATTTTTCCTTTCTTTAATTCTCAGTTTTTCAATTTTTCTTTGGCTTGTTTTTATTCTGTAGATATGAGGGTATGTATATTTTTCATAATTTCGTAGGGGGAATTGGAGATTATTCATTTTCATATTCATCATTATTGATATAATGTTGTGCCTAAATAAAAATAATAATAATAATGTTGTCGGAGGAATATTTCTAAAAATGACTGGGTATGCTGCTCACAAAAATAATAACATATAATTTTTGGTTCAAGAGATTCTAGTCACAGGTCCTTTGCACACGTATAGAATATTATCACAAAAAAACTGCCTTATTTAATGCTGCATAAAGACATAAAAATGATATTGTACTTTTGATCTGAATCTGTTGTCCTCCTGGACTTATTCGAATTATACATTGAGAAAATTCAAAAAATAAATTCTCACAAAAGAGTTGCAATTTTATATTTAAAACGTTACCTAATTCCTCGGCTAACTTTTTCTGAGCTTCTGCATCTTCTTCTGCAGCTTCTAACATAGTTTCCAGTTCAATAATTCTTCTTTCCAATGATGGTACCATGCTATTTTCCTCAGACTCTATCAGTCTACTTTCATCTTTTAAATCATTCATACTTCTTTCAAAGTTTTGAGCATCTTCACTGGATTTTATTTTTAATAACTCATACTCGCAGGTGACCTAAAATTCACCTTTGTGTTATAGTAATATAAAAAAATATATTAATCTAAAACTATTACTCTAAACTCTCAATACAGCTAATTGCAAATAAAAGAAAAATATTTATTGCTCATGTCCTATTTTGTATTAGGTAAATATTTTATGTATATTAAAATATATACTTTTAGCTACTTCAGAAGCAAAATAAAATAAAAAATATTTATTTCTGTAAAACAAAAAAAAATTAATTGTAAAAAAAAAACAAAATACAATCATAATACTCTAATTTTAAGTATCAAAATAAAGATGGTGTTCCTTCTTGCCAATTTGGACATGGAAAACTAAAAAATAATTTAACTCTTAGTGTTAGGTATTATTGCAATAAATTTTTGAAAGATTTAAATAAGAAATAAATGGTGCTGTTTGAATATTTGAAGCAGTTTTCATTTTTAAATTTACTCTCTATTTAACTTAAACGCAAGTTCCGCGTAAACAAAATATCCCCTTGACCACAGCACATTCAACTAGAGGGTACGGAAACATTCAAAACCGAATTACTGGGTTGGTCAATAGCAGTCGGGCTTGTGCGTATCATGCTGTGCTCAAGGGACTATTTTGTTTACAGGGAACTTTTGTTAAAGTTGAATAGTTCCATTATAGTCATACAAACATAAATTACGTTTGTCTAATATAAAAAATATATATTTGTTCTTTTTTTGTAAAATGCCATAATACATAAAAACGATGACTTCATGGATATGGCTAATATGAATATGGTCAAAAATGCGCAACAAAAAATAGAGTAAACTAAAAATTTTCTAAAAATCAGGATTATGAAAGTTGTTGAATTTATTCTACACTTTATCTAATGCACTGTATAATACATATACTGATTAAAGATGAACCAAAAAACCACTAATTGTCCAATTGGCATCCTTTTAGACTTGACCCCCCCCCCCCAGTCCCACTAAGATTAATGTCTTTAGTCCTATTTTTTTTTATTGCAACTGACTTAACAATGCTGACCAATAAATAAAATTATAAATAGTGAAGTCAAACTTTAATAGTCCCATTAAAAATACTTAATTGTGAACCTAGTATATTCTGTTAAGATTCATTATCTTTTTTAAGTTGCTTTAAACTTGCTTAAAGATAGTAAAGTTTCTAGTAGAGTAGTTGTAATCTTCTACTTCCAGGTAGGTAAGCTTAATGTTAAAAAAAATTGAGCTCACTTTTTAAAAGAAAAAACAGTAGATATTTGGCATCTTTATACGCAAGCTCTGAGAATTTCCAGAGAAAATTGTTACAAACTTGCATGCTATAATTTACAACGACTTATGCAGAAATGTGATATCAAATCATGGGGAGGTGCTTTGTAAAATATTTGTTGACTGTACCAATACCAAAAGTTATCTCAATAAAAATGTATAATCTTTATTGACCTTTGAAGCCGTACAATACAAAGTAAGAATAAGGTAAGTCATGTAAATAAAAAGAACAAAGAAACAACATGAGAATCTCAAATAGCAGCTAAGCATCCATATTATACTGTAGGTAGTTGAAAACATTAACTATTAATATGTTTAAGATCTCTCTGGAAATCTTGTAATGTTTGATTATTTTTTTACGTTGGGGGGACAGTTTGTTAAAAAGGAATGGGAAATGTAATAGGTGGTTCTTTGTAACTAGTATGATTGTTGTTTTTGATTGATTCTCAAATCCTAGAAAAATAGTGGCTAGAGTTTTTCTAGAAGAAAAAAAAGCAATCAATAATCAACAAAAAAAAAATTAGGTACATATTCTCTAATATAAATCAACTCTGAAAATTATAACTATCACAATGTATACCATTTATGAAGATGGAACATTAATAGATGAATTTCTAATTAATCTGAGGTAGCTCATCAAGAAAAATATGTTACGGTCAAAGATGATATTTTGGTCTTTAATGATATTGGCCGGTCATTTTCGTAAATCTCCTATTTTATTGGGCATTCTACTGACGTTAGTGTACAGGTCAATGTCATCAGTGCCCAATTTACAACACTGCCCGTAACAAATATACAGTTGAAGGACAAATGGATGATGTGAAGAGAGTACTAATAGAAGATATTCTCTAAGATCCAGCAGGTTTATTCTACTAAATTTATAGTCCGGCTACAAGTTGGATTTTGGACTTGACCCTCATGATGTTCCTAATTTTTGAGCGGGGTTGTAGCTTGTATCATACCACTTGCAGTCTAGATAATAATGTATACTTATAGATATTCTTATAAGCACCAAAGAGGGTGCACATTTAAAATTTTAGCAAACGAGAAGCAAACAAAAAAATCATTTTAGAATCGGACACTAAAATAATGAACAATTTGTTAGTTATAGGCAGACTATTTCTTTAGAATAGTGGAATATTGTTTACATGTTTAGTACACTAAACTTATAGTCTGTTTGTATAGGTCTTTTGTAGAATAACCCTGCTGGAGATCTTCATCAGAGACATAATTTTAAAAGGTGAAATCTGAACTCATTATATGTTTTGCTGACAGTGACAGCAAAGCAACATCAGGAGATACGATATACAATAAGTTTTTTAGTTTTGGTAACAAAATATTTTACAAAGTAAAGTGCAGACTAAACAAAACTTTTTTGGCTGGAGGGTAATCTTGTAGTTTAGGTGGGTAATAATTGGCATGTCTGCACCATTGCTGTTCCTATTTATTCTGACCATCGGAACCGCTATATACTTGCCATGGTACACATTTTGAGGGTGAGGAAATTTTTTTAGACATGAATAAAAATATTCTTAACATTTTTGATTATATTGATGTATTTTTTTTTGTGAATTTTTCCTTGCCCTCAAAGTTAAAAAACAAACGGCTAAACAAGTACACAAATCCGGCAATGAGGTAGGTGTAAAATTTCAAATTTTAAAGCCCCATTTCGTTTAGTTCACACTGCATTTGAGTTTAACATAAACAAAGCACAATGTGAGTAGTCATGAGTCATTTACAAACTGTAGTCATTGACGTTTGTGCTCAGTTCACAATGAGAGATGACCAACTTTTATGTTAAGACTTTCGGGCACGAACTTCGAGCCAATGAAAAACACGTATATGGTTATTTGACATGAAAAGTAGGTTTGTCTACCGATTCTCGCCACATTTTCAGAAAGTAACCATACTGTAAACAACAACAACAACAACCAATAATGTGGGTAATATGATCTAGGATCGTTGGCATAGTCAGCTTGATCATATAAAGTGATACTTCATCATTACCAGCAGCATTTGATTTAATCGAATCTATAACTTTGAGAATTGTATTCTGATCCACTGGAGTGTTATTGTTAAATTTATTATTCAAGTAAAAATGTATTTTCTGCAAACAGTTATCAGATTTCTTGAAGACACTAATAAAATAGTCATTGATATCATTAGGGTCACGTAAATTAAAAGGTAACTCTTTATTAGCGGTAGAACATTTAATATTCATGTTACTTAAACCCTGCCATAAAGCTTTCTCATTTTTCTCTTCTAATAGAGGCAAGAGCAAAATTACGACATTCCGTGTAGTAATTCCAATTTTGAGGAGTTTTCCCAGATATTATTGTAATCTGCTTTTTTTAAACTTAACTGTTTCAACATTTTTGTACCGTTACTTGTAATTAATATTTTTAAATGTTTTGAGGAGCTATAAATATGTTGTATGTATAAAATAGTGAATACATATATCTATCTAGGGTTGTGGCACTACTAATGGCCCCCTTAAGACAAAAATGCTTTTGTGGGGCCTGTTTATCAACCATATTTTAATAGAAAAAAAAAATAGTATTTGATAGGTTGAAGTATGTAATTTTCTTAAATAAAAGAGACCGAAGATGTAACATTGCACACTGCGCATGTTGTCTGTTTTAACCCCAAGTAACCCACCAATTGAAAATCATTGTTTGCACGACGCCATCCGAATTGCTCCGATTTTCCCATTCAATGCTCACCTCCGTCTGAGTTCAATCACCATTGACAGCTGTCTTTTGATTTATTTGTTGGTGTTTTAGCAATTTAAAGTGTTCTAGTTATTCAATTTTAAGCTTAAAATGCCACGATGTATCTTAAGAAATTGTATATACTTATAATACAAGTACCAATGTTATGAAAGAAAAAATATATTCGTTTTCAGCGGTAAAAAATTATTAACGTTTTGACATAAAGCGCCATGATCCTTTGGGCTGAATACTTCAGATTCACATTAAGGGGTTCCAATAAATATTAAGCATCAAATACATATTTCAGAAAACAGATTTCGTATTACTTACATAAATTTACAAAAGGGTAAAATTTTAAACATTTAATTTAAATAAGAAGTAAATAGGCATTGTTGCTAACGAAATTTTGTTTTTAAAAAGTAGTTTTATAAGAATATTTACTAAAGGTGGTTTTTAGCCCTTTTTGGTAGATAAATAAGAAGTAAAGAAGCGTAGTTGACAGCTAAATTTTAGTTTTATAAGGTATTTTTATAGGAAAATTTAGAAATACAGAATGAAAAACTTAAAATTTCAAGATAATGTAATAATCGATTTTAAAGGAAATACAAAAAGAAAGTAGATTTATTCAAAATAACCGATTTAACCAATCGATTATTTTCGATTAATCGATTATTTTCGAATTTTCAAAGGAATTATATGAAAATAATCGATTGATCGAATATAATCGGTTATTTTATATAACCAATATTTCGGTTATTTTTTAAAAATATCGATTTATCGGTTAATCAGCTTTTTAGTAATTAATAATTATTTTAAAGGAAATATGAAAAGTATTATTAGAAAATAATCGATAATTCGGTTTATTTTTTAATTAATCGATTATTTTAGGTATTTCAATGATTTTCGAATTATCAATTTTAAATGAAATACAATAAAAATAATTTATTGAAAATAATCGATTGATCGAAAATTGATAATTCGTTTTTTTTAATCGATTATTTTTGATTAATCGATTATTTTCGATAATCTGTTTCAATGGTCGAAAAAAAAAATGGATTATTTGAAAATAATCGATTATTTAAAATAAATGATAATTTTTTATTATTTTTTGTAAACACTGATTTATCGGTTAATTGGCTTTTTGATTAATCGATTATTTTTAATTTTTCAAAGATAATCAAGTAGTCTACTTTAAAGGAAATACGCAAAACAAATAGATTGAAAACAATGGATTGATCGAAAATAATTGATTATTTTTTTCGATAATCACCCACCCCTAGCGACCAAATGGCTTTTAATAGGTTTTAATTTTAAAATGTTATCTGGTTTCAGACATATGCATTTCTAGAATTTTATGTGACTCATCCTCTATATTAATTAATATTCCTAAAGAAAGAAGCTGAGGTTACAATACAAAACAGCATTTATTTTGACTAATTTTTAATATTATGTAATAGCCGTAGAAAAAATATAATGTCCAACTCAAAAGGTTTGATTTGCAGTATTCGCCTGCGCACATCCTTTTTTATAATACTCGTAGACAATGAGTACCATTTCTTGCTCTATTAACAATATTCTATTTCAACATTTTACTGTAGTCTCTTGCTGAAAAGTCCGTAGTAAATAAACGCTAACGAAATATTCTATAAAAGGTCTTCTCTTTACAAAAAATGTCGTACATCTGTTTGATATTAAAAAATCACGTTAATTTTATTTCATAATACAAAATTCCATTAAACATATATTTTAAATAAATTTAATAGTTCATTATGATGCTAATAAACAAAGTCCCGTCCCTATCACAGAGTTCAGGTCTCTGCCCAGTTCCCCCACTCCATTAACCTTTCTTTAGAAATTGGCACCATTTGCACAGATTAAACACTGGTGTATGTTATATCTCTGGTCTCTTTTATCTAAGGTAATTTTCAAGAATATATGCATTTATTGTGTTAATAGCATGCAATTCTTTTTTGAACTTTTTTAATAAAATTTGAAGAAATTCTTTACTTTTGGGCATCAGTCTGTCACTAGTTCTTTACTTATAGCCACTAATTTTTAAGTTGCATTTTTAAATATTAATTTGTTGTTCTTGTTATCGTGAGGATTGATGTAGATATTTGTCATCTTCATTAGTAGTGTGTTTTTGGTATGAAGAATGTAATTTGTAATTGATAGCGAAATTGTATACAACTCAGATGCTGTTTCAGCACCTTCCAAATCATGACCTCTTCTTTTTGTTAGTGCAAACTGCTCCAGCATATCAAGTTAAAGAACAAATACAAAATAACCCAATTACTATCTACCCCTCAACCCACATAATAACTGCGGTGGCCATAAGTAAAATATGAAGTTCTACTTTTGGCCACCAGTGTGGCCATAACTCATGAATTCTCAATTTTTAGTCATTACTAATGACCACCTTGACATTTATTTCTAATTAAAAAAAAAAATATGGTATTACTACATTGGGTATTAATATCTGCTTAACTCTCGAAATTGCATATTCAAAAATATTCTAAATAAATCCAATTTTTGTCCTGATGTGTGCAGATAAATTATTAACCAAAACAATAAGTAATGCTTACATACAGGGTGTCCCAGCTAAAACTTGTCACCCCCTAATCTCCAAACTCGTGAAAAAAATTGAAAATCGCTTAGACCCGTCGATTTTTATTTCAAGGGGAAACACTTTCACCAAATACATCATCATTGTGTTGTCAACCCCCTCATCCCCAGCACCCCCTACTTCAAAATTTTCAATGGGACTACTTGTGATACATCATTTTAAAGGAAATTTAATCCCAAATACATCGGTGTACTGAAATTGAGGATCGATCAAGTGTTGTTGAAGTTTTAATGAAAACTAAGTTTTATCAAGATATTTTTATTTTTCATCACCTAAAATGTTACCATCGTAAGTAGATTCACTGTGGGAACGCCACTGTATTGAAAAATAATAGATTAAAAGGTAAGACAGACGTTTTTATAAAAAAAAAAAAAAAAATAAATAAATTATGACCATGTGTTTTTGTATATGCATATCTTTGTTGAAGCCTTGGTATATTGATGACATTTCGAAAATCGCTTATACTTCTGTATGGAACTGAATGGTTCACATTTTAAACCTTTCATATGATGATAACATTTTAGGTGATGAAAAATAAAAATATCTTGATAAAACTTAGTTTTCATTAAAACTTCAACAACACTTGATCGATCCTCAATTTCAGTACACCGATGTATTTGGGATTAAATTCCCTTTAAAATGATGTATCACAAGTAAGTAGTCCCATTGAAAATTTTGAAGTAGGGGGTGCTGGGGATGAGGGGGTTGACAACACAATGATGATGTATTTGGTGAAAGTGTTCCCCCTTGAAATAAAAATCAAGGGGTCGAGCGATTTTCAATTTTTTTCACGAGTTCGGAGATTAGGGGGGTGACAAATTTTAGCTGGGATACCCTGTATATTGCACATGTTAACTATGTAGGTATATTACAGATTTACAGTGGCCTTAGTTTATCAGTTACAAACCTATTCAATCATATTGTCACATGCTCATTTACACCCTCTAACCACCACTTAGTTTACATTGTTGACACTTATTTTCAGATCTCAAAGCAACAAATGGCCATAAGTAGTGCCACGACCCTATTTAAATACTTATAATGGCAAGTTTACTAAAGAAAAACTACAAACCTTAGACAGTTTATTTTTAACATCTATTTCTCTCTTTCTTATAGATTGCAGTTGGTTTTCCAATTCTTCTATAGATTTTTTATCATATTCACTTTGTCGTTTAAGGGTTTTGTTTTCTTCATCAAACATTAATTGCATTTGCTTTCTAACTGAATGCATATGACTTATTCTGCTTTCTAAAGTTTTAATGGTGTTTCTGGCTTCTATTAAATCTGATCTCATTCTTCTGACTTCCCTTGGGGAGCCTACATATGATAAATCTAACTTACTGTCGCGTTTTAACTTCTTCACAGGGGTAACTTCATCATAACTGCTTTCATTTGAATTGGAACTTATCGAACGTTTCATAGGCGGTAATGCCGTAAATTTAAAATTAGGTCTTGTTTCCATTGTTGATTTTAAGTTATGAACCATGTTCAATATAGTATCATCCATTCTTTCATTCATTCTGAAAAGTTCCTTTTTAACCTACTAACAGAAAACCATAGTAAATTCACGAATTATAAACCAAAAACAGGCTGGTAATTTGTTAGATTTAACTATTATTTCTAATAGTTAACAAACAAAATTGTAAATTGCAAAATATTGGTTGAAAGCTGCAATTCTTGAAACTTATCTGAAACGTCAAGATAATGGTAGTCAAAGAAAGATTAAAATGGTAGTGGTTAAGTTACATGGCCATTGGTCAGATGAATATAGACTACAAACCTAAAACGAAACGAACGGAAAATACGAAAACTGGCGAAAAACTTTTTTATTTTTCTATGAGCGAAAACCCAACCAAACAATCGGTACCGCACTCTTCAGGATTGCCAACTATTTAGGTAATAAAATAAAAAAAACTAGATACACTCTTGCCACATGGTGCTTATAGAAGAATATTTATTTATTACTACCTTAAAATAATAGACATTTGATAAATAACTCATTTTATAGTGTTTAATATAATGATATACTCTAGTTTAAAGATATTATTTAATGAAAACAACAAATTTAGCTTTGAAATTAATTCTATAATGTTTGAAATATTATTTCTGACAACATTGTAACTACTACTCGTTTAGTCGTAAAATTTCCCTCCTTTAAAGCGACCATTTAAAATTGTGAAAAATCAATATTTATTTGTGAGCGTTATAATCTTTTAAATATAATTTTTTTTTGATATAATATTAGCTCTACTTGTAAACTTTCAAGTAGAATTACATTTACAATAGCCAATGCTTTAAATTTTGATATAAACAGGTGTTTAGTGTATTAATCTAAAAATTTTGACAACCTCCTGCATAATCGTTCTTCTAGTCTTGACCAATCACAAACTAGGTAGTGTATAGTCATGCGCAGACGATATAGTAGAGCTGCTTTGATGATCGCCATTTTACAAGCGTCTTGCGATTGTTTGAGAAACGCTCTTGTTGAGCCAGTGTTTTTAACACGGTAGTACGAGTGCATTTTGGTTTTAAATCGAAAAGCCGGTATGGGTGATTATCAAGTGGCACAAGTTCAACAAGATGCTCTTGGGGCCGTCCAACTGGAGCTTGGTGGAAACCCTAACACTCTAGCACTACGCCGGCCTTTCGACCCCTTGGCCCATGACTTGGAAGCCAGTTTCAGATTGACGCGATTTGCAGATTTAAAGGGTCGAGGATGTAAGGTGCCCCAGGAAGTTCTCAATAAACTTGTGGAAGGTCTCCAACAGGATTACAACTCTGCTGAACATGAACATGCCCATTTTATGCATATGGCAATTCCGCGAATCGGAATCGGCCTTGATTGTTCGGTAAGACTTTGTTGTCATTACACCAGTTTATATTTTCATTATCAGCTACAACGACTTTATCTGTTTTCTATAGTTTTGATAAAACTGATTCTATTTTATTTCTAACTTATTGTATTTAACTGTTTTCATAATAATATTCCCATAGATTTCAGAATATTTAACTTAACATTTCGTTTAAAACTTATTTACTTACATCCATAAAATTTTGCATAGGTATTTGTGTACTTTTTTAAATTATTAGTTTTCTTGACAGTAATAAAAAAATCATAATTTTAGAGGACAATATATTAAAGAAAGAAAAACTGTATATCATTATGATTGTACCTACTTATTTAAATTATAAGATAAGTAGGTATAATAAATATTTATTTTAATTAACACTGTAATGAACATTTATTATGCTTTTATTTTGTGATGTCAAATACCTGGGTGTTTATAAAAATAATATAATTTTTCATGTATTATATTTACATATCCTTACCTTAACATGTAAACCTAACTCCATATGTAATAATTTTACAGGAGAAGCAAAAAACCGTTTCATGTAGATATAAGTAGTAGAAAAAAAAATTATTGGATCAGTAGGTGCTTTAAAGGAAGCTCTTAATTATAAATGTTTCTTGTTTACATTTTGGTGTTACATATTATACAGGCTTAACTTTTGTTGAGATAGAAGTTATGTAATGTAAATTTTCAATTTAAGTGCTATGTTTTGACAGGTAAAATTAGAAACTAATATATTTTATTTAGGACCGATTCCACTGTTATGTTAAACGGAGATTAAAATGATGTTGTTAATGTAAAAATGTCATTTAAACATACTTGTTTAAGAAGTCCTTTAACAAAACTGAATATTATCATAACATTCATGGTAATTAGGTGAAATTACATTCTTTAATTTTTGTATATCCTCATTTTTTTTATTATTATTATTATTATTAGGATTCAAAACAGGTGCTTATTATTTGTAACAAATCATTGTTGATAATACTTGGAGTAAGGAGTGGGGGGGGCATTCACCCAACTACACACATTTAGTAGAGTGGGGGGCGATTTTTTTTTTCATCTCAAAGTCCAATCTAGAGGTTCAATATATTGACCTCCCCTGGGTGGGGGGGAGTTTCAGGCCAGCCTTGCTTTTGGTTTTTTTCGATCACTTGCCATTTAGGTGTGGCAGAGGAAGAGAGGGGAATTATTATTTTTTGTTTTTCTTGCTTCAATATCCATCCATGTAATGGGTGCACAAAATTGATCAAATACATTTGGTGGAAAACATTTGATCGAAAAGAAAAATGATCAAAAATAGATTTGATAGAAAAAGCAATTAATAGAAAACCCAATATTCATAAAATTAGAAAAAATAAAAAAAAACTCAAATAATTTACTTAAACTGTGTGACCTAAAGCCCTCGCTAGTTGCTTCGAAAAAAAAATATAATTTACCTACCTGTGTGAAAACAATCAGTTAAATTTAAATGGCTCCAGGCCGCACAGGTTAATTTTAATGTTTCTCATTTTTTATGTTTTTTTGTGAAGTAACCCTCAACGGCTCCAGGCTAGGTAAATTAGTTGAATTTTTAATAAAAAAAATGTAATTAATATACCTAACCTGTGCAAGAGCAATCAATAAAATTTAAATGTCCCATTGGGAGACAACTCGGGCTTATTAAAATGTTTTAATCCTAGTGACTATAAATATATGTACTAATTTAGCTCTGAAAATATTTATTGAATTTTTTTTTTTTTTTTAATATAGGGATAAAATTTGTTAAATGAAGCAGCTATCATTTGAGATTAAAGAAAAATTTGCCATTAGTACCTAATTTGACGATAGCCGCCGAGTTTATTTACTCCCGTAAAAGGGATTAGACCCACAGTTGCATGGTGTTGTTAGATTTTTTTTTTAATTTTACTATTTTTAATGTTGATTTTCGATATATTGTCCTTTGGATCTTATGAATTTTAGATCTGTTGTCTTTTCAATAAAATATATCTTCGATAAAATATATTTTCGTTCAAATGTCATTCGACAAAATGTATTTTTGGTCAAATTTCCAATTCGATCAGATGTTTTTTAATCAATTTTGTGCTACCCATATGTAATATTGTCCATGTCTGTTTGAAATTAAAGGGTGCTCATGTTTACTATAGGCCAATTTTATCATAAGTCAATCATAATTCATAATTGTGGATCATTAGATTTCATTTATGAAAGGTTGGGAAAAAATACTATTTTCAAATTTTTTGTAAAACTCGTTAATAGTTACTAAACAAAACTAAAAAAATAAAATCGGTTAATAAACAGAAGAGAAAATGGTACTTAACCAGTTTATCTTTACCTATTTATATATAGATTTTGTTTTGTATTAGGTAATTTACTGTAAAAGAAATTTTTTTTTTTTTAAACCGTTTATTGAAATACACGTTTTTTTTTATGTTTGGGGCCTCTGTGAAGTTACAAGTTTTACATTTAACAGACATGCCAACAAAATAGAGGTTTGTAATTTTAAAAGCTCTCGTATTTAGGATTTTATTAATAAATGGCACAATAATCTTGTTTTCTGTAAAAAGTGGAGTTAGATGGTTTTCATGTTAAGGTAAATGATATATTTAAAAAGCACATTGCCTGAATATCAACAAGAGTTAAGTTTGTCGAGTTGAAGTCTGAATTTCACTTGATAAATTATGCCTTTAGCTGTATGGTTTATAAGACATATAATAAACTAAAAAACTGTATATTTTAACCACTTGATATTTATAGAATAACAATAAATAGCTACGTGATTCCATCAACAATAAATTAATATTTCAACTCTGAACTGGGTATTTACCAGGCCCACATCACTACCTATATTGATGGAATATTGTAGGTATCATTTTCGTGGGTGGGTACATTAAAATATATTTTTGTCATTTTTTATCAACTGAGATTTAGTAAGATTTAAAAACCTAGGAAAATTGTGTATTTTTGGATAAAATACTTTTTTATGCTTTTAATTAACTAAATTTAACGTTTTATGCTCGGATAAGACTTGCCGTCAACAGTGTTACCAGGGTCAAACGATGAAAATACCCTTTTAAAAATTAGAGAATAGAGAATAAGTACCTGATTGTACCTGATTTTACCCGAAGTTCAGTTATTATCAAATCAAAATGTTGTATTAACAATGAAATAGTGACAAATGAAGGGATGAATATGTTTTAAATTTTCAATGTAATTAAAAAACATTCTACATTTAAAAATTTCCCGAGTTATATAAAGGGTTCTAAGAATAAAACCTTTAATAGGTAGGTACATTTTTTTCATTGTAAATAAAACTAAATGCCTCAATGCATTATGCTACTTGGCTCAAAAGGAGGTTAGAAAAAATATTAAGATTGTGAATCATTGAAAAAATATTGACATAAATGTTCAACGTATGCTGCAGTGTTTTTTTTTTATTTGCATAATGGTTAAAAAATATTGAACATATTACTACTTACATAAACATACTTTATTATAAGATATGTGTTCAGCGAGAATTGGCTAACACCAGCCGATATAAGAGAAGCACTTCTTGGCGACGGTGTCAACTATATTAAATCTGTAGGCTGGCTCACGAACTAGAAGGTGCTTATCAACTTAGAAAAATGAACTTGGGCATAGTGAGGCATAAGTGCCGTGGATTAACTCACCCTCCACGTGTTACAGATGCAGAACATACTAAATTGAAAGTTTATTAAAAATAGATATATTAAACAATCTTTAAAGTTTTTAACAAAAAATATAACGTCGTTGTCGCGGTGAAACCTCTTATGTACATTTTATTAAAATTTTTGGTAGAACAATTTTATTCTGATGCCTTATATGTATTACGTTCAAGGAAGGTTTCAGTTTTGATTTAAAATCACAATATTTTAAAAGAAAATTACATGGGAGGTTTTGCTAAACTGTAGAGAATGGTATTTTCTATGAAATGGCACAAAAATCTGAATATGTGGTAAAATGACACATAGGAGGTTTCACCGCGGCAACGACGATAAGCAGTTTTTAACTCTTATCTCTACTAAAATAAAGTAGTAGGTACTTTTTTTAGAAGCAAAACTGTTCATTGTGGTTAAGATTTAATTTTTTTTATTTTGTAGGTTACTCCATTACGACATGGTGGGCTGTGTCTTGTCCAAACCACAGACTTCTTCTACCCTTTGGTTGACGACCCCTACATGATGGGAAAAATTGCATGCGCTAATGTCTTGAGTGATTTATATGCCATGGGAGTCACAGAATGTGATAATATGCTTATGCTTCTTGGAGTCAGTACAAAAATGACAGAAAAGGAGAGAGATGTAGTTATACCCCTTATAATGAGAGGTTTTAAAGATTCTGCCCTTGAAGCAAGCACAACAGTTACTGGTGGTCAAACAGTAGTTAACCCTTGGTGTACAATTGGAGGAGTTGCAACTACAGTATGTCAACCTAATGAGTACATTGTTCCTGATAATGCTGTTGTTGGAGATGTGTTGGTGTTGACAAAACCTTTAGGAACACAAGTTGCAGTCAATGCTCATCAGTGGCTAGATCAACCAGAACGTTGGAACAGAATCAAATTGGTAGTCAGTGAAGAAGATGTAAGAAAAGCTTACCACCGTGCAATGGATTCCATGGCACGTTTAAACCGTATTGCTAGCAGGTTGATGCACAAGTACAATGCTCATGGAGCAACTGATATCACTGGCTTTGGTCTGCTTGGTCATGCTCAGACATTGGCTTCTCATCAAAAAAATGAAGTATCATTCGTCATTCATAATTTACCCGTCATTGCAAAAATGGCGGCAGTAGCAAAAGCATGTGGTAATATGTTCCAATTATTACAAGGACATTCTGCTGAGACTTCAGGTGGATTGTTGATCTGTCTACCTCGTGAACAGGCAGCTGCTTATTGCAAAGACATTGAGAAACAAGAAGGTTATCAAGCGTGGATTATTGGTATAGTAGAGAAAGGAAACAGAACTGCACGCATTATTGATAAACCTCGAGTTATTGAGGTTCCTGCTAAGGAGTAGATGTAACATATAATCCAAGTATTTTTTGACATACAAATGGCTGTTAAAAGTCAAAAGTATGATTCCCAACAGCTTTGTAGATCTATTCTTTATTATTTTGTGCATTTTTTTAATACTATGCATTGTTTATGTCAGAATTTTATTTGTTTTGAATAGAAGTTTTACACACATGAGGAAACCCTGTGTGATTTCTCATTTAATGTTAAGTATTTTAAATTTTGTGAAAATGTGTTTTGGTGAGTCCCAATTGGCATTTTTTGGAGTTTTATTATTTTTTTAATATAGAAAAAATGTTCCATGGTATTTTGTATAATAATTTTCCAATATAATTACTGAGTATTTATGTGTTTTATTTGAGGGGCTTAGAAGCATGATTTTCTAAGTGCTGGATTTCCTAACTAAAATAGTTAAAATTATGATGTTCTCATTTTAAATCTAAATCATTAAATTTTTCATGGTAATATCTGATATTAAATTTATTCTCCTAAGTCTACCTTGTATCACTTGTACCCATTGGCGTAGCCAGCCATTTTTCATGTGAGGGGTTGTTGAGAACTAGAGGGGGGGTTCCATCAAGAAAGTAAATAAAAACAGTCAATAGCGATCAGTGCTAATACAATAGCGGAAATGGTGACGCCATTGCTTGTACCCTTTGCTTCTAAGCCTTTCATTTATTAGGATAGGGTAATTGGTTGCTGCCATAATGCCAATAAAAAAGGAGACAACGAAAACAAAAGATAGAACTACAGTGTAGAGAGAAATAAGCAAGCATGTTCGAACTGACCCTATCCAAAAAATATTGTTTTCAATTCAATAAAACTTTTGAAATAAATCATGTCGTTTTCTACATTTTTTAAACAATAGTTTACGTCCCACAGAACAAGATAAAACGCCGTATAAGTGACGTCAGTGAGCCAATACAGCTTTTTAAATGTGTTCAAATTCTGGTGCAAAATTGTTTTTTTTTTTTAAACATCCAGGGACAAACATTTTAAAATTTTTAAAGAAACTACTTTTTGTCTCGCATTGTGAAGGTGTATTCAAAATTATTTTTGTAGTATAATTCTAAAAGATGAAAGGCCATCGAAGTTCTATCCTCTAGAAGCGACATGTGCTCACTCAATTGGACAGTTCTCATCCAGAGTGAAGCTTTAGACACCTCGAAGGGTAGTTGGGTTTTATAATTTGAAACTTACAGTATAGTCTTTTTCAATTGTGAAGTGGGGCGACTAGTCACGTTTAGTTTAAGTTCTCCAAATTTTTTAACTCTTCAATCCTGACTCACAGGAGAACGGCATAGAAATAATGCTATTGAATAGAGAGAAATGGAATAATATGCCGCCGACTGCGAACCGCAATATTCCATCCTTGCCGTCGAAAGGGAGTGATTAACCCAATTACTTTCTATCCCTCTCACAACTAAATAAAATTAAAGCGCCTCAGCTTTATTATCGCCGATAAAATGGTCATTCAATTATAATAGTAATAATCAACGACTATTGAAGTTCTTTAATTATCTTCTAAAGTTGTAATAAAGGTACTGTAATTATTGCAGTAGTATGATTTAAAGAATAATAAAAAATGTGAGAAGGTATCTTTTTATTTGTTTTACAGAATTCATTAATTACTAAACGATTATTTAACTAATATTATCTACTTATATTATTTAAGACCCAAAAATCACTTTAAAAAATAAACGATTAAATATTACTATTGACAAAGCAACTTTAAATACCTATCTAATATAAAAATCCTTAAGGAAACGTCAGTTCAGAGAAAAATTAAAATTGAGTGATATCGTAATTTTTCACCGATTATTAAATTGGCGGCATATGAAAATCTTTTTATTGTTAATTTTAGGAAAAAAGTTATTTTTTATAAAAAGTCGAGCATGATCTAAAACCTAACATACAAGCATCAAATATCAAATTTTATCAGTCGTATATAGAATAAAAGTACTTTACTCTTGAGTAAAACTCATATTTTTTGACAAACCTCGTATGCCACTGAAAAAATTTGATATTTGATGACTGTATTCTAGGTTTTAGATAATGCAGAACTTTTTATGAAGAATAACTTTTTTTTCCCTAAAATTAATAATAAAAAAGTTTTCCATATGATTCCAACCTAGGGGGACATACTGTATATTTAGTTTATCCTCTAAACATTTATAGAGGTGCTGCAATAGGTTGCACAAAATAACCGGAAAAAGCCTATAATAACTAGATAGGAAAGTCATGTGTTGGACACATCAGATTTTTTATATTGTCAAAGAAAATTTTTCCATTATGGTCCATTTTAGAGAAATTATGTATGGAACAAAAATTAGAGATCGATATCGCAAACAACTTTCAGTTGAACAATTTTTTTAAAAATTCAAATTTCTCGAAATACAGACCCTTTTAAGAAAATGTATGACAAAAATTACACAGAATAACAAACTTTCATTTGAACAATTTTTTCTCCAAGCGTAAATATGTATTTCATAAAGTAGAAAAACGAACCCCTATAAAGTACCCCCAGATGTCCCGACTATGCCCAAAATTTAATCCAGTTCACCGCAGGTTGGAATAGAACTTAAAATATGGTGCTTTTCTCTTTATCCACTTTCGATTTATATTCGAAGTTTGCACATTTTCCTAAATATCTCGAGTACGATCCATTTTAAAGAAATTTTGTATAAGACAAGTATAGAGAATGACATCACAAACAACTTTTATTTGAACAATATTCTCGAAAATTTGTTTGCACTTTTTATCAAATATCTCGAATACAGACCATTTTAGAAAAAAATTGTATAGAACAAAAATTATAGAGAATAATACAAGGTAAATAACATATATTCCATAAAGTAGAAAAACGACCCCCTATAAAGTACCCCTCCAGAAGTTCCGACTTTTCCCAAAATATAATCAGCTCAAGGTAGGCCGGTATAAGGATGATTCTCGTGTAACTGCGATTTTTACAATTTAAATTTTTCTAACATTAAAAATGATTTAAAACGTTTGTTCTGCGCGTTTTTATTTTCTATTTATTCACAAAACTAAGCCTGTGAACTGGTTTTACTACAGCTACAACACAACGAAAACTGTGACAAAATTTCAAAAGTTTAATGCCACGGTACTGACATATAAATGATTATTTTTTTTACTAATCGAAAGATTGGTATAAAATTCAATGCAGTATGCATTAGATTGTAGTTATAAGAGGTACATTTTATATTAAAAAATTAATTTTGATAGAAATTTATATATTTAATTTTAAAAATAAGAATCGGACATGCCACGTTACTGACATTTCGAGTATATTTAGGTGCAGCTTGAAAAAAAATTGCGAAGGTTTATGATCTAATTCATAATGTCAGTTGTAAAATACCTCTAAATTTACAATATTAATAACTTTTTGATGAGGAAAACTTATGCTAAACGATAAATAAAATACTGGACATAAAAAATCACAATTATGCAAGAATCGCCCATAAAGTTTAGAGTTGTTTTTTCTCATCGCAAAAATAGTCAAAACGGATTCAATGGTACTCCAAAACGTAAAAATTCGTCAAAAACTCGAGGTCGACTAATTCGTGATTACTATAATATACTTTCCTTATCTGTATACAGACAGGAAAGTAAAAAAAAAAAATTAGCAACACTATTATATGTAATTTGATTCCAAGAAACAAAAGATACAGGGTGATCTATTGAAAAACCAAACTTAAGGTAATTTCCGGTGAAACCGGAAGTCGGTCATTTTGTTTAAATAGTGTCAATTGGAAACTATATGTCTAGTATGTTTGTTGTAGATTTGATACAGGGCCAAGCAACTTTTGGTTAGATCAAAAAAGATACGATCTAGGTGCACATCATTTTTTAGGCGAATTTAAAAAGAAATTATCGTGGCCCTAGTCTCATTGTCACCCGGTATATCCACTCCTATTGTACAAATTTCTATTTTTTGCCATTTTGAAATGAACTCATTTAGTCAAACATAATAATTGTCGAAAAATGCTTTTAAACACCGGCAAACCAAAGAGGACAAAATTGCTTCCTTGAGCCTAATAACCCTAATAGATGATGCCATTGACACCCAATGGAAAAAAGTCAGCCTACATTAGGAACCCAGAAAATCTTCCCTTCTGTAAATTGCTTTTGAAATTTTCTATTTGTACCGTTTCCTTCCAAATACATTGCTTTCAAAAAGATTTACTACGAACGCCGTACTTTTCTCTTTTATAGACTTGATGTTAATTCATAAAATAGCATCACCAGTTGATTTTCCTTCTCTAAAACAATATTGACAATCTGATAAAATTTTAATTTTTTTTAGAAAATTACAGTCTATTATTTTTTCCAATGTTAATTCATAATTCGAGAGACGCTAAAATGGTGGTTCCCACCTTATCGAGACTGAGGCCCACAAGGGTAAACTCGTAGCGTAACAAAAACGAGAAATGATTTAACTTGGAACGAAATACCGAAAGCCGATAGTAGTATTAGCACGTTGAATTTTTTGGTTTGTGAAGCATTGGCATTACTTAGGTTAAACCATGTGATGATTTTCACAAGCCTTGATTTTTAAAACCATTCTATACCGCCTTTTGATTAGGGTTTAAAAACTGGTTTGAGCAATTTATTCAATAATAATTGGCCCCTTTACCTCTTAAGGAGGTCCTTTCGCCACCAATGTTAAATAAAAAATATTAGATTATGACTAAAATTAATTTTTTTCTAATAGTAGATGTCCTTATTTATCTAATAGTGAACTTTTAACTATACCTTACCGTGCAAATTTTTGAGATTTTTTTTTTAAATGTGTGTGTTTGTACAGTGTCTTATGAGAAAGTAAGACTTCAACAACAATTTTCGAATTATAATTAATTTTACTATTATTTATTGATTAGATGGAGTAGAAAAAAACTAAAAATAAGGTTTTTGAAATATTTAGGTTTTGTTTTTTACAATTGTAAATCCACTTTTTTTACACCTAATTCATTTTTTAATTTAATTGTATGTGTTTTTATTCATGTAATATTGTAAATTAAAAATAAAATTTTCAACCACCTTTATCTTTAATTAGTTCATTATACCGGGTGTTCAAATTAAAGTGTTACAGCTATATACCGCCTTTTATAAAAAAAAAACGTTTCAGACGAAAGTTTTATAGTTTTGTAGGGTAAAATATTTGGCTAAAATCGTTTTTTATAGCTAACCATAATATGGTCAACTTTTTTTTGTCTAGCAAAATTTTCAAGTAGCTGTTACTCAAAAAGTAAAAGTACAATAAAAAAATATTGTTATCAAAAGTTTCTTATTTTTTTATATACTTTAAGAATATGTAAAAAAAATGGGATTCCCATTTAAAAAACAAAGTCCACCTCGATATGGCCATATTATGGTCAGCTATAAAAAAATGAATTTGGCCAAAATGTTTCCCCCAAAAAACTATAAAACTTTTATCTGAAACTTTTTTTTTCTAAAATGTATATTTTCGGCGGTATTTAACTGTAACACTTTAATTTGAACACCCGGTATATTTAATTCCAAGTTTCATTAGCTAAATCCTATTTTAAATTTCGGAAGTTTATATATTTTTTGGTAGAGTTTTCGGTATTAAAAATTAAACTTATGGGACTATGATCAGTTACATAATGCCTAAGAATCAAGGATTCGATATTTAAATTTTCCATGTTGTCTTGTGTGTACTCAAAAATTGCCTAAACATGTCTTATACTAGGTATATTGATTCACGTAGGATATGAGTCCGTGATACAAGATGTTTTTGTATTCTTTAATACATTAATTTCCCTCTAAAACAGCTATACTCAACCTGCGGGCCGCATGCGGCACTCCAAGCTCTTTTGTTCGGCCCACCAAGCTTTTTTTGCAGCCCTCCAAGCTTTTTTGTGCAGCCCCGAACACGATTATTAGTAATTGAAGTGGTTGACCTACAGTCCTGTCCTTGCGTCGACTTTTCAATATTAAAACAACATGAGGACCTTTTTTTAGAAAATATTGTGGCCCGTGTAGCGTAACAAACAGATTTATATGGCCCGAAAGAAAAAAAGGTTGAGTACAGCTGGTCTAAAAGATTCATATTTATATCACCCGTAATGATATTAATATCGCTTTTAGTGCAGATATGAGTTCAAGATTAAAAACAGATGTACTGGCTGAACGATATATAGATCTGCCATCAATTTTATCTTTAAAAGCAAAATAAGCAACCGATAAATATATTTTGCTACACTTCGTATATTCATGTGAAATATTTTAAAGTTATGGACTATGACAAATTTCTTAAAATTACTAATTTCGTTCGAACGTATAGGTTCATTTTCAATTAAACTAACTAAAAATTTAAAAGTATACAATATAAACTATTAAGATTATTTTTGATACGATGTAGAATTGTTTCTTAACATATTTCCTTTCAATCGTGTTTTTAGCTTATTATCTCTCAGCATTATTGTTTTCTCCCTTGGGTTTTCTGATTACTCGAATGTTCTCGGATTTTTCCACTATATAATTCTTTTAAGTTGGTGCGGATGGAGCGTTGGTGGCCATCAGTTTCTCTCAGGTCTTGAACAGTGTAGGCTGTGTTGCTTACTATCAGCTTGTTTGGCTAGATATGTATGTTTTTTTAGTACTTTGCTGTCGCCTCTTTGACGTAGGGTTAAATATGATATGTTTTTTCCTTTTTGATGGAAACAATTTTTCAATATTAAATCTTTCTTGCAGTGTTACAAGATCTATTTTTAAAGGACCATTTGAAGAGCTACCCAATGTATAAAAATTATTTATTTCAATGGGCTTAACTTGTAGTAAAGATTTAAATAATTATTTACAGTATTTTCTATTTTCAGATCTTTCCTTTAAATTTGTAACCCAAAAATTTTTTTTTTATTTTTTTGTCCAACTTTTTGAAGTTCTTCACGTAGTTGTCGATTTGCTTCTTTCAAATTTTGGTTTTTATTTCTGAAGCTTCGATGAATTATTTCAACTCGGTTCTATTCTGATTTCTTCAAATAAATCGGAGAGTAATATTTTTATTTTCTCCCATATTTCAGGAAAGTATAAACAATTTGGCATCGTTACCCTAAAATTTTCACTAGTTGCTGTCGTTATCGCTTTATCAATATCTGCAAATAATTATGAAATACATACTAAGATCCTCTCTTCACCTGCCAGTTCTCATATACAATCTGTCGTAAACGTAAATGTAGAGAAAGGAAATAATATCGGTTAGAGATGCGAAAACTAAAGTAAGCATTTTTGGAAATATCAACCCCAATTCCCCTACGAAATTAAGGAATTAATCTCCTCGGGTCGGTGGTGTAGCGGTCTCACGCGCTTATATTCATGTATAGGCAAGTTTGTGGTCAGAGACAGAGGGGCTTCGAATCCTACACCAGACCATGTGGATTTTTAATTAAATTGCATTGTTCGGTTTATGATTTGATGTGTGCCGTATTAATAGAAATTCAATTTCTGTTGAAATCGCATGCAGATTATAAAATCGCCATGCATTACCGTCTCGATGATGGTGGGTGAAAAAGCAGGCATCAAACCTGGATCTTCCTGATACCTTTACTAATTAAATCACACATATCTAAGAAACTCATCTAATAATTTCGGACTCGCTCTCGCGGAGGAGGGGAGAGTGTGTGTTCTGGTGAGTGGAAATCTGATTACTTCAAATGGTAATATAATTCAATATAGTCATTATTATTCAAAGCAATTTGTATTGAGTACCTATCATCACTTAGATTAGATATATTGTGCAAGAGTTATAAACAAAAAGAATTAGACAAAAATTTTTGTACATCTAAATCAACTAATTTTTGGAAGGTGAAGAAAAACTGATAAAAAATGAACAAAATTTTATTGTCATCGTTTCATAGCTTTCTTCATTCTAAGAACTTTCTTCTTTCTGTTTCCTCCTAGTTTTTTCTTAAATGGTTTATTTTTTCTTAAGTTATTTCTCACTTTCGCTTTCACAATTTCTTTCAAGTCCCTTCTTAATTTAGTAAATTCCGTTTTCTCGTCCAATCTCATTTTTTCAACAAAGTCGAAACCCTCTAAAAAGAAAATTAAAACAGATTAATTGTGTGTTAAGAAGGGGTTATAGACAAGAGTAGTTTATGAAACAAATCTCAACACTTTTGTATTATTTATAATTTCATCCACTGATTTTTCCATTTGATAGATGTTTTTTTGCAATGTAAATATTACAAAATTTTCTATTTCTTACAGCATCTTTTGTTAATTGATCAACTTTTTTATTACCTGATAAATCACTATATAACTCTTAATCCAATAAAATATCAAGTCTAAATACGAAAATAGTTTTTAAATGTAAAATTTTTACATTTCATGGTTTTGCTATTTAAATTATAGCTGCTTTTAAGTCGGATATAATAGCTCCGCGTTTTTTTAAATATTTAACCACCTAAATGCTATCTAATAGAAAAGTTAGAACTTGTTTTTTCCTGTCTAGCATCCTATTATAATATAATTGGATCTTAGACTAGGAAAATCCGAACTTCAATGTGCATAAAATAACTCTCTGTCTAAGCTTTAGTCAGTGGTGTAACCAGAAATTAGTTGAATAAATTATTTTTTCTAGATACTTTAGAGGAAATCTAAAGTAGACAATGCAATAATGAGAATATGTAAAATAAATTCTGTGAAAATAAATAAACCCCAGTTTCTGATAACTATTTTTATATATTCAAAAGAGCCACTGCCACTAAACTTTAATGGGTTATTGAAGGTCATTGCTTTAATATAATCGGCATTATCAAGATTTTAATGAATGAAAATATTAACTGTCTACCCTCAATTTTTGATAAACTTAGTATGATTCGTTTAAAATATTAACCAATACAAAAAATATTTCTAGAATTACAGCCCTGTTATTAAATGTGAAATGTAATTCCTTCTTTCTTTTTTCTCTTTGGCTCTCTATAAGCTGTACACACTACCATTAGTAATTACTTAATAATAACACCGTCTTTGATTAACGTTTACTAAAAAATACGGCTTCTCTAAAACAAACAAAAATACAGCCATTGACCTTTAGTCACAATTCTCTACCTCGGTCTTAAATAAAAGTTAGGCATCCCCTCTCTTTCCTAGTTTAAAATGGGTATAAATGATAACACTGCATTGATGCCAGAGATAAAATATAACATCTATACTACCATGTCCCAGCCGTTTCCGAGTCTAAGAATGGATATAATTGGCAACATGGTGTTAATGCCGGACAGGAAAAATAATATACCTACACCTTTATTAAAAATTTATAATTTGTAAATAATTATTTCACATTAAAAAATAGGAAGAAATGCAAGGAATTTATATTTTTTAAATGCGTTTACCTTGTAATCTGTAATCATCAAGTTTAAAAAAGAATGGATCTGTCCAAGAAGTCGGTTTTCTGAAATCACATTTCCTTGTAGAAATCTCCGCATTTTTCTGGATGCTCTCAGAAACTTGTTTTTGATGAGTTATATCCTCTGTCTCATCTTCGTCATCAGATGAATCATACTTAAATGGATTTTTTTCTTTATGGAAACCTTTACTGGATATTTTGGTACTTCCTTCAACTATTTCCATTTCTTCTGCTAAAGAAATGTTTTGTGATTTAAATATAAAAGAAAACCAAAATGCATGGCCAAAGTAATGTTATTTGCTCCCTTTTTGAAATTTACTTCGTTAATTCTCGACTAATTATTGTTTCAGAATAACGAAAATTAACGTAGCGCACTCATCCTTAGAATTAAAATTCGGCCCTGCATATCGGTTTTGGTTCAGACGTGAAGTAAGACTTTCTGCCATTATGTTTGGATATTAACTGCACGTTTTTATTGGTTTTTGCATTGTTTTTGTTATTTTTAAACATTAATAAATCAACACGTAATAAAGCAAATTTCAAAAATGTTTGCATGGTTGAATAGAGAATAAAACCTCCTTTCAAATGAGCTATTACCACCCCATGCTATTTAAATTTTTCGAAAGGGTTGCTCCCCTCTAGCAAGGGATGAAATTAAGGGTAAACTATTCATACAAAAATGTACATTGTAGAAATTAAAAATCGACGTGTCTCGGCGATTTTCCTAACAAGACTCCAGTAATGAGTTAGATAGGGGGGGGGGGGGTAAGACTTATGATGCTCACTGTATAGCAATTTTTTAGTAGTTTTATAATATTTCAGGAGCCAAAAAATGCAGTGTGGTTGTTTTTAGAAAAAAGTTTTAAAAAATCGAGGTGCTCTGCTGGCTTCGTTCGAAGCTAGCAAAGAACCTTGATTTTTGTAAAAAACGAGAAGCATAAAATTTTTGAATAGGGTATAAATATAGATTTAAAATAGCTTAAAAATATGGCATAGGTTTCAACTCAAAATTGTCTAGGTGCTCTGCTGCCGTCTTTGAATTAATTTATAGATTCTTACGTTTATCTTCTAAATATTAACAACACCGGCACACAAAAAAAAAGTTGTTTGTACATCAGACACGACCTACTTACCGGCATGTATTTTGACCCGCTGAATCCGAATTTCAAGTCAGTTTGGACCGTCCACCCTTCAATATCCACCCTTGCAATATCTCTAAAAACTGATGTATGAACTGAATGAGGCGAAAGATTTTCTCAGATTTTGAACTGTTTTTTGTTGGTATCAAACTTTTTTGTTCTCAAATGACCTCCGCAATATTCACCGGATCGAAATACATAAGAATTATTCTTGGTTTCGATTCATAAATTTTTTTATTACTAATCTTATTTTTACTATTTTTAAAATTTACTCGATATTGAAGGGTGGACGGCCCAAACTGACTTGAAATTCGGATTCAGCGGGTCAAAATACATGCCGGTAGGTAGGTCGTGTCTGATGTACAAACAACTTTTTTTTTGTGTGTGCCGGTGAATCGGTCTTCAGTCTGTCTGTTTCAGTTTACACTTCGCGACAAGTCAAAGCGTGAGTCGACTGTTCGCGCCAGCGTAGTTTGGTCTCTAAAAATATCCGAGACTAATATTGTTGATTCGAATACGAATCTTTAAGAATATCTTTGGCGAATCCGGATCACGGATCCTTTTTTTCTTAAGTATTCGAATACCGCTCGCGGATCCTCAAAATGTGATTCGAATCCTCCCCAGCTCTGGTTGATGCACCCTAATCTCGTGGCTAGCCTGTCCGGCGGCTTGGGGGATTAAAATTCACTCATAAGGGGGTGAATTTAGTGAGAGTATTATTATAAAGGGATTATGGAAATTGTAACTAAAAAAATAGAACCTACTCTTTATATAAAATTTTAAATTGACCTCTCTTTAATTGGTTTTCATTAGCATTAGTTATGTCATCTGTCTACAAGTGTAAATTTTATGAAAAAACAATCAAATTAGCCCTGTTTAGATAATAATTAAAATGTACATTTAAGAATTAATGGTTTATTTAAACATATAATACTCACCAGATGCAAATCACCCCTTCATGAGTGAATCTCAGAAAGCAGAGTTTTCAGGGATAAATGGCTATCTAACAGGACACATAAAACTGTCCTTGAGAAAAGCAGTCCTCCCTTAGGCAGTCAGGGTGTCGGGAAATCGAAAAATATGGTTTTAATCAATTCACTACTCATATTATTCATACCATAATTTCACTTATTTATTTTTAATTATTTGTACTATTCATTTGTATTTATTTTATTTATTTTTACTTATTTTTATTTATTTTCATTTATTTTTATTTATTTATTTTTATTCATTTTTATTTAATTTCACCACTTTTCTCCCCCTTTAAAACGTGAAAATCCAATTCCCCCGAAAAACGTTATTATTTATTTATGATGAGTAGCTTCAATTACAATTTTCAAGTTGCTACTTTAAAAAAAATCGATACCCCACTACAAACTTTCAGCCACAATTTTCCTTCTTTAAAATGTAAAAATTCAAAAACCCTAAAATACGTTATTATTTATTTGATTGATAAGTAGTTACAATTCCAGTTTTCAAGTTTCACTTTAAAAAATCCCATACAAATGTTCACCCCAATTTCCCCACCTTAAAATATAAAAATCCAAAATCCTGAAATACGTCAATATTTATTTATGATTAATAACTACAATTCCAATTTTCTTGTACCTACCTTTGAAAAAATCTATAACCCTCTACAAACTTTCACCCTCAATTTCCCCCCCTTTAAAATGTAAATATCCAAAAACCCTGAAATATGTCATTATTTATTTATAATCAGTAGCTACAGTTCCAATTTTCAAGTTCCTACCTTTGAAAAATATTTACAAACGTTCACCCCCCCCCCCTTAAAATGTAAAAAATCCAAAAACCTTGTATTACATCATTATTTATTTATGATAAATACAATTCAAATTTTCAAGTTTCTACCTTTAAAAAATCGATACTCCCTACACCCTTTTACCCCTCCCTCCCCCCCTTAAAATGTAAATATCCAAAAACCATTAAATACTTCATTATTTATGAGTAGCTACAATTTCAAGTTTCTACCTTAAAAAAATCTATACTCCCCCCCCCCCCCCTTTAAATATAACAATCCAAAAACTTTGTAATACGTAATCATTAAGTTGTGATGAGTAGCTACAATTCCAATTTTCAAGTTACTACCTTTAAAAATCTATACTCCTATACACACGTTCACCCCCATTTCCCCCATTAAAATGTAAAAATCCAAAATCCTTGTATTAACGTCATTATTTATTTATGATAAATACAATTCCAATTTTCAAGTTCCTACCTTTAAAAAATCGATACCCCCTACAAAGTTTCACCCCCAATTCGCCCCCTTAAAATGTTAAAATCCAAAAACCCTGAAATGTATCTATATTTATTTATGATGAGTAGCTACAATTCCAAGGATGGTTTAGTGCATACATGTGTTAAGTAACATTTTGCTATTTCAAAAGTTAAGTTTAAAGGTTTGAAACTATAGCTCTCTGTTATTTCACATGAAATGTATCTAGCAAACCATTTCAACACTTCTTCGTTGTTTCCGATTACATAATAAAGCGAAATAAAGATACATTATTTGTACACATATAACTAAGCCATCGATATATAGATTAAAAACCAGCTAAAACTATACTTACGTCTTTCTTCTTCATCATTATATTGACCAAACATACTAAGCAAACTAAATTCTTTTTTTTCTTCAAAAGTTTGTTTCAAATTATCAGAAACACTGAAAAATACTTCTTTAGAAACTTCAGGTGCAATTTTTTCTTCTTGTCTTTTTTCAGTCATTATTTCAGTGTCAGAGTTTTTCCGTTTTCGTTTTTCTTTTCTTTCTGAAGCCACTTTAGGAATTTCATATTTTGTATGTTCTGGTTGTGAGGGGTCAAAACGTAACATTTTTTTCTTACTAAAATAATACAATATAATATAACGCAAATGTATTGCATTTAAGAATAAAGTTTTTTCAGAAAACAATCGAATCGATTTTCGAGTTATTTTGGGTTTTAAACCGTAAATTTTTATCAAGATTGCTTTTGACTAAATGTGACATATTATCATTGCTTATGGGTCATATTGAACTTTTTTCTTTGCTTTAAAAGTAAATAATATAAAATAAAGAATAATTTGAGATTTTAACTGGGAAATCTTATATTTTTAGGTTGTATCCTTATGCTTTTTTAAACAAAATTTCAATTGCAACTAAATATACCTGGTGCTCCAGAAAGGAGAAACTAAGTAACTTTTTATTTTGTTACTATAGACTGAATGAAATTGTTTATTTTATGCTTGAATTCTGTAAATATTTTTCCTTCAAAACTTGGCCTTGAAAACAAAACCTAAATCATGAGGCTAATAAGCTTTGACACAGTAAACATATTTAAAGTTAACCTATTGAGTGTAAAGCTCTTTAAATTTTGTATTGATAGTTAAATGAACTTCCAAAACAAGAACAAGTAGCTTTTTGTCTACAATTGTTTGCCTTTGTAGTTGAAGTAAAAAAAAATATCCATACTGTAAATATGTAAGTGCTGTAGTGGTAGGTTGTATCATTTTAGTATGAAAGCCAACGACCGCTAGACCTACGTTATATGCTGCGTTTGAATATCCACACTGGATGTATCTAAGATGTGCATTTTTAACAAGCTTTTATTAGCTTCACCTGTATGTATATTTGTAACTCTCCTTTGGACTAAAAGCAAGTGGCTTATTACTGTCAGTATATCCCACTACCTCAAGTTCGTTCGTTGGCCGAGCGGTCTAAGGCGCGGGTCCGTCGATCGCCAGACTCACCGATCGTGGGTTCTAATCCCGTCCACGGCTGAAAAAAATAATTGTTTTTTTTTAGCAATTTCAACTTACAAATTTTTTTTTAATAATCGAACTAAAAAGTAAAAAATAAATATAGTTTAAAAAAACTAAAAAACACGCTTTTAGAGCATATCAAATTAAAAAGTTAAAAATAATTTTTCAAATAAGCTTAAAACAATAATAAATGGAAAATAGTAGTATTATTGTGAAAAAAGCGTGGGGCGCTTTGTCCATATTTCTCGTACATCGAGCGCCCGACGGTTTTTTCACAATAATATTTTCCATTTATTATTGTTTTAAGCTTATTTGAAAAATTATTTTTAACTTTTTAATTTGATATGCTCTAAAAGCGTGTTTTTTAGTTTTTTTAAACTATACAGGGTGTTTCCGAACTTGGCGTCCAAATTTGTAGGGGTGGTAGTTCGCATAATTTGAAAGCGATTGGCAGATTTCATTTTTCTAAAAAAATTATAATAAACAAAATAGAGCCATTATAAAAAAATCAAAGAGCTGGTCCTACCCTGAGCGCGTAGCGTAATAGTCGCCTGATCGGTTACTCATCGGGATTTACAACTCAAAAACATTTGCGATTTGCAATTTTGTCGATTCTAAGCAAACTTACGGAGAACTCGATCGTAGCGCGCGCGAGTCGAGGCGTTCCCATCGCTGTGCAGGACCGTACTTGTTTAAAATTTTTAATTATTTTTATTTTAAATATTTTGGAAAAATGAAATCTGCGAATTGGTCTCAAATTATGCGAACTACCACCCCTACAAATTTGGACCGCAAGTTCGGAAACGCCCTGTATTTATTTTATCACGTGATAAAGAATTAGATCTAAATGTAGATGTAATAAACAAATGCTCTATCTAGACCTTAGAGCATATGCTCTAGACTTAATTGGTCACATGATAAAATGACAAGTTAAAAGTTTATACTTGCGTTTGACTTTTGAGGCTACAAATCAACCTAAATTTGAAATCTAAACAAAAATTAAACAAACTAATCAATTATATATTCACGCTAGCCTTAGACTAGGTAATAAAGAGAGGACGCGTAACAAGTATATCGAGCACACATAGTATTCTGTGCCGATTATCTATTGGCCGCCATTATTTTGGTGCTAATCATTTCGGTGAACCAAAATTTTGTTCGTGTTTATTTATGATTTTTGAATTAAACGACATTTAATAATTGGTTTATTATAATGGTTTATTGTGTGGCATATCAGTGTAAAAGTTATAGCGGCAAGAAAGAAGCCGATATTACGTTTTACAGGTAAATGATAAACGTCAATCGTTTTTACTTTATATATTTTCTTATATTTTTAATTTTATTTGGTATTATACAACTTGGTATTCACAATATTCACATATTGTACATGTCTCACTCCAGAGTAATACATTTTACCCACCAAGTTTGTTCATTTTATGCTTTTCATTGATATTTAAGCAATTAATATTAAAATGGCCAAACAAGTAATTTGTTCCAGTGGCGTGTCGTACAATTCTAAATATTAACTGTTAATAAATTCTAATTTACTTTTGCTTTTTATTTATTTGCGGCAATGTTTATTTGTTGTTTTATTTTAGGTTTCCTTTTTCGTGCTTGTGTGTTTTTATATACAGGCTGTCCCAATGAAAAGTAGCCCATTTCCAGAGCTTATAACTTTTAAACAAATCGTAGAAACGTGCGGTTTTTGCTGATATGTGTTATTTTGCTATAAGTTTTTTTTCAGTGACACAGAAATTATGTATTACCTATACATGATGTTTTTTTTTTAAATCTCCTCTTTTAGATTCACCGTAACCAAATTTTATCAAATGGAAACGGGCTACTTTTCATTCAGACACCCTGTACTGTCTTTTTATATTATTTTTTTGCCATTATTGAAACTGTGGTATACCGAAACTAGTAAACTTTATCATTAAAAACGTTTTAATTTCATAACTTCACTTTAATAATGTCTTATTTTTTTTTAGAAAAATACCTTATAACAATAATTCAACAAAATTATATGCTACGGGGACATTAGTTACAGAGACGCTTTGGCTAAAATTAATACCATAAAAGATGTTTTTAAATAGACCAATTTGAAAAAAATAGCAACAAGTACTTGAAGTTATTTTCTAATTATTTTATCCAACACTGTAAAATAATAATTACTCTATGTGTCAGTTTTAATAGTTTAATAATGTATAATAAACAATATTAAATATAGTAGACAAGTACCCAGACAGCACACCAAATCCTCTGGATATCTACTGCACATCCCAATATCCACTGAATGTCCAGTCCATGGTGGATATCTATTTTATATCCATGATATGTAATTTATAGACATGCAAATGTCCATAAATAATAGTAATTATATAGCAAATTATTAAAAAATTACGCCATTGTGCTCGCCATTGTGGCTAATAGTACCGTTCAGATATTTAAAGTTAATTTTTTTAAGGTGTATTCAATATCCCATGGACATCCACTAAATATATCAAAGTCTAGGCGCGAACGCAAACCATCGTAGATATCCATTAGATGTTACTTGATTTTGCTTACTAAGTATAGATGGCGATACCACTTTCGCATCTACCAATGAACTGGAGTGGGGTAAAAAGCCAATGTGCATATTGTATCAATAGAATATGGTGCGACTCTATGGGTGCAGCCATTTTTATTTCTCATCTCACTCGGGAGTATTTATAATAACCATTTTCTGTTTCACAATGTTATTGTTCAATCCACAAGCTGGTGGATCAGACAATAACAAAGTGAAATAGAAAATGGTTGATATAAATACTCCCGAGTGAGATGAAAAATAACCTGTCTTCGCCCATAGAGTCGCATCTCAAGCCTATTGACAAGCATTCTACCCCACTCCAGTTCATTGGCATCTACTCATGCTTGGCCCGCCGTAATTGAGTTCGATCGAAATTTTTGTTCTATTCAAACTCCATTAGAGACTGGAGTCGAGAATTTCCATTTATTGCTGAAGAGTCCTAATAAGAATGACTTTCTTCTTAGTGGGCAAAATCAAAGGTAGAGTGTTGAAAATATTTTTTATCTCTGCTATTTTCTTTCGACGTTACTCAATAATCGTTGGTTACTTATGAACCTCTACTAAAGATAAAATATGTTGCTGAATATCCGAATATCTTCTATATCCTGGGATATAGACGGACATTTGGTTGGATATCCATATTGGATATATTGAATATCCACAAAATATATTCTGTGGATATCTCTGGGATTTCTTGTATTTTCTGGAAGATACCCATTAGATATTTTGCTGGATATCCATTAGGATATCTTCTATATTCTGGATCTAGACGGACATTTGAATATCCATATTAGATCCACGGAATATTTCTGATATCCTGTGGATATATTGGATGTCCACAAAAGATATTCTGTGGATATATCTGGGATTTGGTGTGTTGTCTGGGTATTCATTTATTTTTTTAAACGAATTTTCATCAAGTAAATAGACGGCTTATTTAAACACATCCAATACGGTTTGTCTTAAAGACGTATAAAACTGGATGTCTTAAAGACGTACAAAATTGGATGTCCTAAAGACGCCTTGTTTTGTACCAATGTACGTCCTATAGAAGCATTTAAAACACCTGCATGAAGTTGGCCCTACCATGTTATGATAATTACACCAAAGTTGTACCAATATTTTGCAACTTTAGGCAACCCGTATAAAAAAATTTTGCAACCTTACATTTTTGTTCTAATCGCTAAAACAAAATAGGTGGGGCCAAATTCACGCAGCCCCACCACATCTTCGTATTGACCTCGAACCTTTTTCATAATTTAGCAACTAATTTACAACTTTAGGCAACCTTCGTGAAAACATTTGAAACCTCGTGGTTGGAAGGGGGGCCAAATTCACGCGGCCCCACCACATCGTTATGAATTATGAAAAAGGTTCGAGGTCAATACGACGATGTGGTAGGGCTGCGTGAATTTGGCCCCACCAATTTTGTTTCAGCGATTAGAACAAAAATGTAAGGTTGCAAATTTTTTTATATCGGTTGCCTAAAGTTGCAAAATATTGTTACAACTTTGGTGTAATTATCATAACATGGTAGGGCCAACTTTACGCAGGTATTTAAAACATCTTTTGGATATTAGCGTACATCTTCAAAACGTCACGAACGTCGTGAACAAACATCTTTAAGATGTCTTTAAAACGTGTCTGTGCTCTTTGGGTAGTATCATTCTTTATTAACTAAAAATAAATATTTTTGTAGTACATGTAGATCATTATGTTTTTTTTTACGGAATTAAAAAAAACACTCATTTTATTATGTAAACGATTTCATTCAGTTTATTTTAATTTTTTTTTTCTTGTGTCTTATTTATTTTAAATTTTACGTAAATACAAGTTCGTTTTTTTATTTCCAACATGTTACGCCTTTGGTCGAATATCGTTGGTGTCAGAAAGGAACAAGATTTTCAGCGGCGTTATGAGTCCTCTCTTTATTACCTAGTCTAAGACGCTAGCATAAACAAAGGATATATCGATAAACTTGGCTTCACAGAACATTTACTTTCTGGCATGGAATGAACATCTCATTCATATCTCCTTCCAAATCGAGATGTAAAAAATGTAATCTGGACAGCTACATCTCGGATAAACAAACGCAGATGTAGTAGATGTATCCGATGTGGATAAACAAATGCTCGAGATGTACAAAATGCATCGGATGTGGATATTCAAACGCAAAAATAGTATGAAGTTTAAGATGTTTTACATGTATTCATTGTTGCTGGTTTAGGTGTATATTCTAAAATATTTTGTAACTTATTCTATCTTCATATGTATGTTTTGTAGTTTCATAAATTCGTCAACACGCTAATCTGTGTTTGAAGTTTCCATAAACGCTCTAAAACTGATAGTCTACGGACCCCTTATAACAGGTCTTCAAGGTACCAAAAAATGTCTGAAAAAAACGTTATAGTATGAAAGCTGATTTTGTATTAATATGTTCAACTGTGTGACAATCAACAATTGCCTGACACTTTTTGTGGGGGGGTATGACTACCAGATGCTTTCAGACGTTGAACAATTTCTGCACTTTATAGAAAACTTTTGTTTTGTTAATTTCTCAGAAAATTTATTCTTGAAAAAAGTTAGTTCTTGACCTAAAACCCACTACAAACTTGATAAATATTTAAAAAATTAACCATATACATGAGAGGTAAAAAATTTTACTTATAGAAAACTTTTGTTTTGATAATTTCTCAGAAAATTTATTCTTGAAAAAAGTTAGTTCTTAACTTAAAACCCACCACAAACTTGATAAATATTTAAAAAATTAACCATAATAAAAAAATGTTACTTAACAAACTTGTTAAAAATTATTATTTGAAAAATCGCAAACACCATCCAGAAACTTATGGTTGTATCCTAACAAAAAATCTTTACTCTTGAGCCAAATTCATATTTTTGTGGTTTGTACTGAGTTTTAGGTTAGGTCATGTACAAACTTTTATCAAGAATAAAATATTTTTAGGCAAGAACAATCAAAAAATAATTTTCTCTAACGTGCACACTATATACAAAATATCTTTTATGAAATACGATAAATTTTGATTTCTTATTGACTTCACTGATAAACTAGGACTTGGGTGCATGAATGATGTTCTTTCACTCGCAATCACATCTGGCCTTTTACTGTTAGACCCGTCGTATATGTCAGATTGTTCATATTTGCTGATAATGATTTTAAACAATTTTCAGGTAATTGTGGATTGGAGATTATATCAGTTCAACACAGTTAAAAATCAGCTTTCATATTATAACGTTTTTGCCCGACATTTTTTAGCACCTTGAGGACATGTTATCTACCAAACCCCCCCTCCCTCCATAGTCAAGATTCATAACATAACATAACATAAAAAATCTTAATCTTCAAAATATAAAGGAGGTCTGGCGTTCGTTGGCTCTTAGTCTTTCCATTCTTGCAATCTTAAAGTCAAGCTGTGCTGTGGTACCTGATCAGACTAGGTGTAAACCTCTAACATGTGGTGTGCAATAAATCATTACACTTTGAGAGGGACACATAGCACGGGCACAGTTTATTGCTAAAGAATCAGTTAGCTCACTCGGACCAGTTGGATGTTCCAAAATAACATCCACTCAAAGGATACAAATTCAGGATGTGCAGAAGACTGCTGTTTGATTATAGGCGGTTGTCATATATTGTATTGGTTATGATTTGATTCTGTAAGCGCCAGGGATGCAAATCCGAGTTGCGCAGGGTATAAATTGGAACATTGAGATTAAAAGTGCTGACGCAGAGTGAGCGAACTGATTCTTTAGCTATAAACTGTGGCACGGGAGTATGAAAGGTGTCAAATAAATATATTAGTAAACTAAATAAACAATCCAGTTCAGTTTAATTACACACTAGCCAACCATCCATTTCATAGAGTAGACATTATTAAAGATCTTGGTGTTACATTAAATCCCAAATTATCACGTCAATCTCATTATTCATTAATTACTTCAAACGCATTGAAAATGTTAGGCTTCATCAATATTCATCAAGAGATCTTCTGCAGGAAGTAACAATCGTTTTGTTAAGGATTAGCTTGAATTGTCATGAGCTTTGGAGAAAGTTACTGAGTGGTACAATTTGCTGACCTGATTTGTTGAGGCTAGTGAGTTTTAACACAAACAGAAGATATTATATATCTGAATTATTTTATATTTCGTACTTTAACTGACTATGCACAAAATGAAACTGTTACAGAAATACTTAGGGTTTCAAATAATTACAATGCTAACATTGAAATATTTGACTCATCTTTAATGCCTATTAAGTGACAAATTAGAAACTTACATTTTTAAGTAAACTCACATGTATTATTTTCTTTTTTTTTATTTAAGCTTTTAGTATCCTTTTATTGTTTTCTTTATTAATTATTGATATCTAAATTATGTCTTTGAATGTTCTCATGCATATTGCATTCTTTATTTGTAAAAGGCATATCCGTTAAATAAATAAAGTGTTCATATAGATAAAAAAAAAATATTTTACAGCACTCAGTACTAATTATTTAAATAAAAATGTTTTACCTAGGAGCCTGTCTATCTTCTTTAGGAATGATTTTCTTTCCTAACACTTCCTCAAGAATTTCATATTCTTTCTTTTTTTCTTCCTCAAGTGAGATATCATCAATATTTTCTTGGCTAATAAGATTTTCTTGACATTCTGTTATATTGTCATCCAAAAATTTTTCATTTAGAGTAAACCGCTTATCATTTTTATATTTTGATTGTAATTCCAGTAGCTATAGTAAAAAAAAATGTTAAAGTTTTTTGTGATCATTTTCAGAGAATTTTCTTCAGGTTAAGACTATTCTTGTTTCATGTACTAGTGAAATACTTATAATGGAATAATCATTTCTAACAAAGAAACTGAAGGAAATTAATATTAATAAATTTTTGTTTTAACTGATGCCATGGGTTCTCACAAAAATAAATAAATTTTGCTGTAAACATTTTCAGTCATCATATATTTAGAAAATTGAACTCAATTAATGTTAAATCACTAAGGGTCTATTTATACTCCCTTAGTATTAGTATTTGTATTAGTATTATGATTAAGCATTAAATTTGTTAAATCATTCAAAAAAGGTATTTATACTCGTTTTATAATTAGTATTAGCAATTCTTTTTTAAACCTAATACCTAATAAGATATAATTCTGCAGTCAACAAAATATATGGTTACTGAAGAAATATGTAAGAGGCCAGAGTTGCGTTCTTTTAAGATATTTGAGTTTTAAATGTATTTTTATTAATATTTTTACTAGTTAATTTTATTTAAAAATATTATTATTCAAAAATAGGTTTAATTAAGGACATTTTAACGGATTTCACTGGTTTCAGTCTCAAATTTATAACAGATAAAAAGAAGCAGAAATTTGATACAAATCAGACAGAAAAGAGGCCTTTGCTTCCTCGTGGTGACATGTCATTTGTCAACTTTATAATCGGTAAACACTGCTGATACACAAAAATTGTATACAGCGCATGATTTGTACCAAAATATTATCGTTTTCGAGCTTGTTGGAACAAACATATAAACAATATAATCATATGTGTATTGTCAATTATCCCTATCCTTTGTCTATTAAAAACAAAGGCCAAATACGTTATTGATTCATTTTATAGAAAAGAAGAAATTTAATATTTAATTTAAAAGTTGAACCTGTCAATTATTAAGCATAAATATTAATGCTAATACTAATCATAAATCGAGTATAAATGTCCCCATTACATTGTGAAGGTTCAACTTAATGTTTAATCATAATACTAATGCAAATACTAATAATAAGGGAGTATAAATAGACCCTAAATTCATTAGACATTCCTTAAATCTTAATATATTATATGGCTGTGGACATTTGTAACATAAATAAAATTGGTGAGATTTTAACCCTGTCCTCTTTTACCTAATTAAATTAATTACTAGATTGTACAATGCATACGTTTTTATGGTCTAGTAGTTATGACATTGGTACAGTATACCAAGGACCATGGATTTGATCCCCACTCAGAGTGGATTTTTTAAATTTTTCTTTGGTTTATCTTAACACCTTTGATGATACGAAATTTATTTATGAATTTCCTTCAGCATTTTAAAAGAAAAGTCTTATCCAGTGAAAAATTCACTGCCTGTTTATTTGTTAAGCTATTGATAAAGGTTTATTATCCTTTCATATTTACTAAAGCCTCATAAAAAATATCTTTCTGAATACAAGTATGCCTGAATCAAATAACATTAATTTAAGACAATACTTTTGTATTCCATGCCATATACTTATCAAGACCATAATCATATTGTACTTAGGTATATGTTTTTTTTTATGTAAAAACAGACAAAAAATATTTTAAAATATTGATTATTTATAAAAGATATTGTAAGAGAAGTTTCGTTTGAGACATTTTTGGTGTGCTCTAATCAATATTTAGATTATTGGGCTCATCTTTTATATTAAACAAAGTCCCAAAAAAATAAGTTACATTTAGTTTTTATTTCTGAATACTGTTATGACTGATGCAAGTGGTATTAATTCAAAATCAAAACTATATTTTTTGTATTCCATGCCATATACGGATACAGTATATTTTGTCATACTGTGCTTACTTAAATATTTTTTTGTAAAAATAGACCTGTAATCAATATTTAAATTATTTAGCCCATCTTTTACATTAAACAAAGCCTCAAAAAAATATACATTTATTTTTAATTTCTGAATACTGATAACTAAATCAAATTAAATTAATTCAAGACAAGACTTTTAAATTCCATGGCATAAACTGACGAAGGTAGGATCAGTTAGGTGAGGAGTTGGAGCTGGACAGGAGCAGAGTTTTAACTGTCAATTAAGTGTGTGGCTAAAAGGGTCGTTAGAGTTAAACTAGTATATGTTGTCATACCGTACTTATATTTTCTATGTAAAAATAGACAAAAATATTTATTATATTTTTGGCACATTTTTAGCATATTTCTGTTCAATTCAATATTAATATAGAAATTTTACAATGATTTACCTTTTGACCTTTTTTGCCCTGAAAATGATCTTTTACAGAAAAGGTTGGTTCAAATTCTTCTTCTGAATCACTTTCATTAAAAAGTCTATTTTTATCATTTGTAGCTTTCCCTTTTTGATGAGTAGTCTCTTTAGTATTAGTAAAAGTGATTTTATTTTTTGGAGTCAAGTCAACATTGGCCAATGCAGCTTGAATCAATGACTTCTGGTTTTGGTAACCTTGTTTTAAATTTTTAAGTGATTCTAATCGTCTAAGATTGGCCTCAGAGTTATTTATGGGAACTTTTTTCTTTGTTTTGTCTATTGTAATTATGGGTTCCTTACCAACTGACTCTATTTTAAGAACTTTTGATGTACTATGTTTACCTCTATTGTTTTTAATAACAAAATCTGGATCATGTTGTACAGGTATTTCTGTAAAATTATTTTCTGTTTGTTTTAATTTTTTTAAGCTCACTCTATCTTTCTTTTCTACTTCACTTTCTGAAGAACTACTACTACTACTGCTGCTGCTGTTACTATCATATTTTTTAGAAACAACTTTGACAATGCCATTATTATTTAGTTTTTGTTTCTCTTCTACTAGAGGAATAAAATTGTTTGATAAATGTTCGGCCTTAGGTGTATTTTCATTTTCTCTTTCTCTTTTTAATCGATCTAGGAAGCTTTCTCTTGCAACTTGCAGCATAACATACTGGCCTAGCCATTTTCCATTACAAAAATCTTTAAAGCCTGTAAATTAAGATAAACATAAAATGTCTAATCACTACATCTGCTGTAAATGGTTTACAAAATTTTTAAAATGTAGATAATCTGAAAATTTTTATTTTAATGCAGCGACAGAAGTTGGAAAGGCTTTTCACAGTTCTCCCACTTCATACATGGGATTTGACAGTTTTACCATGGAGCTAACTGAAGTGAGTTTATAGATACTAATAATAATTTCGAGTAAATAGTTTAATAAATTGTGAATAGCTGTTGAAATTTTGTAGAGTTATGATATTACTTATTTAAATAATTATTTCTAGCCCATAAATGGATACCACTACCCGATTCTGCCGTTAATAATTTAAAATGTTCGGTATTATTTCAATTCTACGATACGGTACTGGTGAACAAAGACCTCTCTACCTACCAAAGGCCTTTCCAATTTCTGTCCCTCCTATATAGTTCTTTTAGTTTATAGTATAAAGTTATATTCTGTATTTTCCTATGATTTGGAAAATTATAATAGAATTTCTATGAAAATATAATCCAAGAATACAATTTAAAACTCACAGGTTTGCAAAGTTTTAGCATCTGTATCAATTGTAACATATGAAAAAAATAAAGAAGTGTTTTTTCCTAATTCTTTTCTTTCCTTTATATCGATATGTCTAACTTCTCCATATTCACTGAAAGCCTTCTGAAGTTCTTCTTGAGTTGTAGTCTCAGGCAAATTGCTAATGAATATTCTATTTGATTCCACTTTCATATTATACATATCCTCATTTCTCATGTGCTATATTGACTAAAATGTTTGGTTATGTTTTGCTTTGCAAATACATCGTAACCTCAATTTTCTTCTTATTTCAACGTATTCGTGTCCTTTACCTTAAGAGCTATTAATATTGATTATTTCAAACCGGGTCCGTATTTATCACTGAACTCTATTCTGTAACAGTTACAGTTGGTATTTATCACTGAACTAGGTACATGGTATAATAAGTAGTTTTCGTTGAACTGTCTCTAAATTCTATTTGAGTTTGTTATTTAAAATAAAAATTATCTGTCTTCCTCAATTTTAGATTTTTCACAGTTTGTTATTGTTAAATACCTTTTAAATACACATAACAAAACCTCGTTTATCTAAAACGTTGACGATTGACGTAAACCGGTTCATTTTTGCGAATATTTTTTTAGAAACCGAGACATGATAGTGGGGGCATTTGACATGTCACGGTTTCTGTGTCACTGTTTATAAACGGGAGCACGCCAAAAAATGCTTGTAATTGAGTTCAATCGAAATTTGTGTCCTAATCACTCCATTAGAGACTGGAGTCGAGAATTTTCATCACAGACCTATTTTCATTTATTGCTGAAGAGTCCTAATAAGGATGACTTTCTCCTTAGTGGGCAAAATCAAAGGCAGAGTGTTGAAAATATTTTGAGTGTTGAAAATATTTTGAGTGTTGAAAATATTTTTCATCTCTGCTATTTTCTTTCGACGTTATTCAATAATCATATTGGTTACTTATGAACCTCTACTAAAGATACCCATAAAATATTTTGCTGAATATCCGAATATCTTCTATATCCTGGGATATAGAAGGACATTTGGTTGGATATATACATATTGGATATATTGAATATCCACAAAATATATTCTGTGGATATCTCTGGGATTTCTTGTATTTTCTGGAAGATACCCATTAGATATTTTGCTGAATATCCATTAGGATATCTTCTATATTCTGGATATAGACGGACATTTGGATATCCATATTAGATCCACGGAATATTTCTGATATCCTGTGGATATATTGGATATCCACAAAAGATATTCTGTGGATATCTCTGGGATTTGGTGTGTTGTCTGGGTATTGTATAATTTAGCTTGGCTGAATCAATTATGTGTACAAAAAAAAGTTATAAGATGCATGGCTGGGGTTTCAAGAACAACTAGCTGCAACTTTTTCATGATTATAAAATCTTAACCCTTCTATCTTTGTATAAAATATACAGGGTGTTAAAAAAAAGTGTCACAAAATGAAATGGTGAATAGTATGACCCAAAATAAGCAGAAAAGTCTTAATAAATATATGACCGCAAATTAACGGTTTCGGAGATACGGACAATTTTGTGTTTATAACAATTTTTTATTATTATAAAAAAACAATGATATTTATAAACAATCAATAACAACATGTTAAATGAGATGTTCAAATACTGACGTAGCGCTTCCCTCGCATTGCCATTTGCACGACCGTACATAAAATGCATGTCAGCTAATTCAATATTAGTGTAAACAGGCATAACGAAAATTTACAAAAATTATTCACCCACAACAAAATAATAACTGCAAATAGTATCTATGAAAAAACATCGGTAGACTCCGATAAGAAAAGCAAGTTTTTGAGAATGAAAAAAGATAATCAAAAAATGATACAAAACACTCCGTATCTCTGAAACCATTCATTTGCAGACATATGTTTATTAAGACTTTTCTGCATATTTTGGCCCATACTACCCCCCGTTTTATTTTGTGACACTTTTTTTTTAACACCCTGTATACTTTATATATAATACTTTCATATAAAAATAACAGGAATCCTAACTATTAGATCATACACTCACAAAATTAATAATACACGCTATCACAAAAATCTACAATCTTTTTCTAGGCTCTCAGTTGGGCAGAATTCCGATATCTATACAGAGTGTACCAATAAAACTCCCAGGCCGGATATTTTGGTAAGTAATAGAGATATTTTAATACTATAAAAGCCAGTACATAGAGCATTAAGAGAGCTTCAGTTTTATAAATTAATTTTAAATAGGTCAATATGCATGTAGATGGCGCTGCGCTCAATATTTTTATTTCGATGGGAGGATCTTTCTTATATAGCGCATATCTTGTAAAAAATGCATTTTTAAGCACATTTTGTTCTATAAATCTAGCCATTTTTGATATACAGAGTGGGTCACTCAAAACAGTTTCATTTTTTTCGGCATTAATTATTGGATTTTAAGAAAATTGAACACATTTTTACAATACAGACATCTGTCATGTGTCAACCCCCTCCCTTCCACTTCTCCAACCCCTTAATTATAAATAAGGAATGTACCATACGGCACATCATTGAAAAGGTAATTTTGTGGGGAAGTCATATATGACTGTTTATTGCGATATTTTTAATTTTAGCGGCCTCTATCGGAATAAAAAACCTGTAACGTATTAGTTTAAAGCTAATTTAATTGCTAATTCAATGCACCACATATTATTAATATAAATATTTCCATATTGCCCTTGCAACAACATAAAGTTAGCAACAATAATGTTTAAAATAATGCATGACTAATTTTCAAACTATTGCAAGTGCAATATATATGGAGGATATTTATATTAATGTTATGTAGTGCATTGAATTAGTAATTAAATTTGCTTTCAAATAAGGTGTCACACTTTATAATACGTATTTTTTTATCCAGATAGAGGGAGGTACACTTAAAAGTATCGCAATGAACAATCATATTTATAAATTCCCCATAAAATTACCTTTTTAATGATGTACTACACATTGTAGTGTCACACGCTATAATTCGTAATAGTTTTTTTCCGCTAGAGAGGGTGATAAAATTAAAGTAACCCAATGTTCAGAAATATTTCTGAATTCCCCATTAAATTACCTTTTCAATGATGTGCCATACATGGTACATTATCTATTTAAAATTAAGGTGTCGGTGAAGTGCAATGGAGGGGGTTGACACATATCTGTATTGTAAAAATGTTTTTAATTTGGAATAAAAATCGACCTGTTTTAGAATTTTCTTAAAATCCAATGATTAATGCTGAAAAACAGGATGAAACTGTTTTGAGTAACCTAATCTGTATATCAAAAAAGGCCAGATTTATCAAATTAGTTCATAGAACAAAATCTGCTTTAAAATACATTTTTTACAAAATGCGCTACATAAGAAAGATCCTCCCATCGAAAAAAAAATAAATAAATATATATATATATATATATATATATATATATATATATATATATATATATATATATATATATATATATATATATATTGAGCGCAGTACCATCTATATGTTGACCTATTTAAAATGAATTTATATTTAAAACTAAAGCTCTCTTAGTACTCTGTGAACTGGCTTTTTCCGAATTAAAACATCTCTATTACTTACAAAAATATCCGGCCTGGGAGTTTTTATTGGTACACCCTGTAGAGGTATTGAATGTTTCAATAAATATATTCAAATTGATGGCAATGAATAAATCTTTAATAAATTCAAATATAAGCTTTATGCATATCTTTCGTCTAAGACATATTATTCCTATGTAGAATTTATGATCGATACTCGGTGATCCGTCATGGTTTATCTTTTTTATATAGTTTGATGTTTTATCCTAGTGTTTACTATACTATTTTAAACTTTATTTTTACCAAGGCTAATAGGTCTATATGTTTATATATTTTTTAGACCTTTAAAGATTATTGTAAATATGTATGTCTCAGGGCCGAATAAATACTATTATTATGTTCTAAAGTTTTCCTAGTGATTGCCAGCACCACTTTAGGGACTTTTTGCGAGTACGAACCGATTCTTATTTAAGAAAAAATGTAATGAAAATAAAATCAGAATCGAACGGAATTATTACAAATATTTGAGTGCTCCATAATACAATTTTTTGAATTTTTATTATGAAAGAAATTCTTCTTCCGATAAATGGCAACTCTGTCTGAAATTATCCCACTGTCTTTTATTTTGAAATAGTCTCGATGCCTATAACGACACAAGCCTATTGTCCTAAGAAAATATTGGATTTGGAGTGGTTCCAAATTGGGTAGATTGACCTTTTTTATTTGGTATGCTCCTAAGTATAGTGCCCTTGGATTCTAGAGTGCTACGCATTCAGTCAGAATGTAAATGGAGGTTTTGTCTTCCTCCTCACAGAATCTGCACTATATTCTAGTTACAGTTTCCTAAGGTGTTCTTTGAGCCGACACTGCTCGGTAAGCATGTTCATATGTTACCGACACAACCAACCGCTCCGGAAAGCCGATTGATTTTATATAAGTTACAGATGTAACTTTAGTGGTACATTTGCTCCTATACAATAGGTATTGAAAAAAACTCTTGTTATATTAGCGAAAATAGATGTTTATTCTTTTTGAGCCTATGAAAATGGTTAATTATTACAGTCTAAAGAAAATATATGTTTCGAGAAATAAATAATAAAATATATAATATAGTCAAACTCTCTACTTTTTTCTTTCGTTATCACCTAATCCTACATTTTTTTCAACACATTCCTTTAAATTGTGAGGCGCTTTTTTCTGCTTTCCGGAAATCCTGCTGGTAAGTCTTCTACTTCCAGTCACCTAAAATAATTATTTTTATGTTTGACATGTGTTGTAAAAAATTATACCTATGTAACGAAAAGTCCATTTTATTATGAGAATTTCTTGATAAATAATTTTCAAGATATCCACGAAATATGGTTTATATACATTGATTTTTTCAGGTAGGTATATGTAAATTAAGTTGAATTGAAATTAGTAAACTTTACATTTTCTAATGTTTAAAAAAAGTGTATTTCTTATCTTGGTTTTTCTTCTACTAACAAAAGTTGGCTGAACAGAATTTTGATACTTGAATGGCGTAAATAAACCAGATACCAAAGAATTTTCTGTTTTAGCGTACTTTTTGTTATTGGTTAAAAATGATTGAATAGCTGGGTGGAATACTACACGATTATCTTCTAATTTGTTCAGAATTGTTTCACTAAACTCATTCCATTGTTTCTTCAAAGTATTTCCTCACTGGAAGTTACTAGATTCATTATTGTAATGAAATAATAGTTATTTATGTATCAAGGGAATTATAAGGGCCTTAATTACCGATGCCATAGTTTGCGTCCCGAGGGACAGCAATTGCTTAAGGTTATTAAGGTCCATTAATTCCCGTGGTACATAGATAATTTTATTTCTGACAGATTTCAATAAAATTTTGTTCATTTTTAAAACGGAAAAATGTACCAATGTATTTCCTTCCCGGTATATTTAAATCAGGTACCGTTGATTATAAGGTAGAGGGAATTATAATAATACTCTCCCTAATTCACCCCCTTACGAGTGAATTTTAACCCCAAAAGCAGAGCTTGTGCGGGGAAAGGGACGGCTATTATTATTATTTGCCGTGGCGCTCCGGGGCGACTTAAAGATGATTGATGGTGCCATTTGACTTACAAAAACCCGGAAAACCTCACCCACCATTATACAATATAAGCTTATAATATCCCTGTCGGAAATAAACAAATTTTCATACTTTAATAACACCACAGCTCGCAGTCGTTGCCAATCGTTAAGTTACAGACATAAACTAAGAATTACATCGGCAACTTATTATTACGTGTTCGGCATCGTTCGCAAATCCGATTGTCTCTTTGTGTCGGTATCATATGACTATTCGCCCGGCAAGGATATTTGTTACTATGCATAGCCTGTTATTGCTTAGACAGATACAGGCTTTTCGACTTTTTCAGGATAACATACTTATTCTCAACCTGATAAAAAACTATTAATTTCTAACGTTTTATTGGAATTCTTCTAGAATGTATGCATACAAATAAACTCAACTAATACTTTAATACTAAAGGAAACAAATAACTTACCTTATCCTACTGTTGCTCCAAATACGCCATTTTAGTGATGATGTAATGTTTCCACTGACAATTAAAGTGATAGTAGATTTTTTAGTGCGCTCTGTTCGTTTTGTTTACCTAAATTAAATAATTTTTTTTCACGTTTATAAATATATTCCTAAAGTAGATAACGTGCATCAAATATACAATCGTTTAGTTACCAATTATATACCTTCAAACTATTTTTTATAACCTGCAAAAAATATATAAAAAAACTTAAAACAGTAAAAACGTATATGTCAAATTTATTGATGTTTTTGTTAAAAGTTTGCCTAGAATTAAATGTCACTGGTAGTTGAGAGAATATAAGCAGTTTCAAATTTGCAAAAATTGAACTTTATACAGGTTTTGAGATCAAAAGCAGATATGATGGCACGTAATATCCTTACTCATAAAAATAAAAAATATTCCAAAATTACTTTTAGATGCCATTATTGAAACTTTATAGTGGATGCACCATAGGTGTTCATGTTCAAATTCTATGAAATGCTCTCGAATAATGAATTATTTCGTTGTAAATGATTCCTTTGTGAATTATTGTCATGACTCAAAAGTTATGAATTCGGCGTTGTACCAGTCAAACATATGGTAGTAATTTAGCTTTGTATTTCTAGATCAGACTGGAGAATGTAACAGTTGAGTAAATAATTCCTTTTGTCACATATTCTAAAAATATTAGTTTAATAGATAAAATGTATATCCTTTATAAGTGACAAGTGCACAGCAACTGTGATTGAGGATCCTTGACAAACAAAGTGATAAAAACGATTTTATCTTCTCATCGAGAGGCAGTTAGTTTTAATTTCTGTAAATAGTAAAAGCGTTGAATCTAAATATTTTCTTAAAGCTGTAAAGTTAAGATGGTCTTTCGATCTTAATAGAGTTTTTCAAGTTTAATCTTCAGTGTTTTATTCATGTAAATATTGTTTCTTGCAAAACGAATCAGTTAATAAACAACGACTATGGAAGATACAGGGTGATGTGGTCGTGGATTGATAATTTTGAATTACAAGAATCAACATCCCTTCAATAAGTATCATTTCTTGTAAACCATATTTCGTAATTCAATTTGATTTGGTTTATCAAGAATTTCAATGGTTCAATTTGTATAAAAATATTAAGGCAAAACACGTATAACAACTAAATAAAAATTATATTAAAAAATAAAAGAGGTAGTCAGCACAACAATAAAATAAAATAGGATTAACATATAAAAAAATGTTCCAATATATTTTTAAAATATGGTCACACAGAAAACTGTAAACTACATTATTTATAAATCAATAAATTATCAATGAGTACGACTCTGTCATGGTTCTAACATGTAACAATGTTAAAATTCAAGAGAATTAAACTGGGACAGAACGGAGTATCTAAAATATTAAATAATATCAACACGGTTATCACTTAATTTTCTATAGCAAGTTTTTAAACTGCCTGTGATTATAAAATAAATATTATAAATTGCCTTAATTTCTGATATTGAATCACTGTACAATAATTGGTGCATGTAAATACCCAGGTACCTACTTGAAATTAGCAAATACAATTATACATACTGTTGGACAAAAAAAACTGAATACAAAATATTTATTATGTTTGAATTTGAAATTTTTAATATTTTATGTTTATTGTTGAATTGTTCAATTAGAGGGTGTTCTTTTTTAATAATTTTGGGAGCTTTTATAATATCTTACTAAAATAAATTAATTTTTTAAAGATAGAAACCAACCTGGCTTACACCGGTTTAAACTCGGATCATGTAAAATTTTAATAGTCGAACAGACTTAATTTTTTAGCTGCTACACCAAAAATAAATTTTAATCCAACATCGAGGTCACAATCTATACTATCGATTAAAACTCTCCAATATAATTACGCATCATAAGCAGTATTTATTCATCATGAAATACAATAATTATATACGGACCAATTTGGCAACAACGTTAACAGTCCAATTTAAAAGGACGAGTTCACGGCTATATTTTTGAGATATGAATGTAGAGTCTCGTCTGGGTAATCTTTGCTTTGAGAACAATCTATTGATATATGAAGCAAATTGTTGTCAAATCTGTAGTCAGAAGAAGCAGAGAACGAATCACATACTACATTAGCCAACAGATTTCTCAACTATATTTCTAGAGTGCCTGCAAGATCAAATATGCAGTCCTGCTTTGCTTTTATTGAAGTAAATAATAAATAGCGCTCCCATGTGTAGGAGAGACAAGCATGTGGCTCCAGCTATAACTGGCAACATTGATACTAATAATATACGAGTATAATAATAAACTCTCCGTAATTAATTCCCTTACGAGTGAATTTCAACCCTTGATGCCGACTGAGCGACTTGTGTAGGGGAAGGGACAACTGCTATTATTATTTGCCGTGTCGTTTCGTTCCCTGCAGGACCGAAGGTTTGATTTTGTGTACAGTGTATAATCAAATTCTAGTCAACATAAGACTGAAGAGGCAATGGCCAGAAGATCTAACTTAGTAGATATTGGATACCCTTCAGTGAATGGTGTCCAACTTGAGTAAACTAAAACTAATCACACTATTTACTTAATAGTAGTTAGTAAGTAGTCTGGCTCTGGAGTATATTGTAAATTAGAAATTATAGATAAAAAAATGTGAAGGTAACTTAACGATTCGAAAATGGACATATAATTGTTGCTTCTTCAGATGATTAAGTGAATTTGGTTTATCAATATGGAGGCCAAGTAGCCAAGGATGGATCCGAGGGTATCAGGTTAATATTTACTGGATAGGATATAGGCTATATTTACAAAATACTAAGTATTAGTATATATTAGTATACGAGAAACAAAGAAAGGTAGTAGGTAGTCTCAATCTGCTTTGGCGGCAGCCCAAAGCCAAGAGGGTAAATGTTGATTGAGCATATAATTCTTAATATAGTGATAAATCGGTTTTAAAGTTCTGAAAACTTATCGGTTATAGATCCAAAAACAAATGTATTAAATATATTTCTTTGTTATTTTAATATCATTTAATAGATTCATTTGCGCTTTCGTTAAAATGTAAGTTTGCATTACATTTTTACCGAAACTGTAATTGCAAGGGAATTATAATGACTTTGGCTTTTGACGCTAGTAAATTTATCATTTGGAAATAATATATTCAAATGCAAAGATATTTAGTACGTTGCACAATACGACCAGCGAGATGCGTACAAAAAGAAAACAGAACAACAAGAAAGATATCTAAATCAATAAAAAAAGATGAATCTACTTTTGCCAATGCACGTCAATTTCTCACCTGACACTTCTCGTTGGTCGTATTGCAATGAATATCAAGAATTTAAGAACTATTACCCAGCTGAACAAAAAAATGAGAAATTGAGATTTAAAAACGTAATTTAGAATTACTTAAGTACAGAAACCACTTATTTTTTAAATATAATTAAGCATAAAATATTTTGTATAAAAACCAAGTAATAGATCCGATGTTATATGAAAGTGAATCACGTAAAAATTGTGTATTTTAAATACTTTACAAGTTTGGATATGTTGTAGAAATTACATTTAATATTTAAAAATTTATACAGATATTTCGGTAAAATATTTTTTTAAAAACTTAAATGTTCATAATATCCCTAATGAATATTAAATATTACTCAGTTTTGTTTTGCAACTGAATTTCATCAACGAAAGGGGCCGATAGAACTTCCTTGGTGGGAATAAAAAATGCTTAAAAAAGTAAATGCATATTTCAGTATTACCCTAAAACTACAAGCATTGTACAGTGACCCAGTACCAATTCAATTAATTTAAAAATATCTAGTTTTCAAAATCATCAGTCCATCTTAATTCTGTACTCCTAGGCGAAGTCTTCTGCTCCCTCCCCATATCTTCTCCACAAAAAAAGTCATCATCGAATGGATCATCTTCCCTAGCGAATATGTTAACCGATTCCGACTTCTTTATATTAACATCCATTCGTAGATTTCCAGAAAACCGATTTTTAGAAAGAATTTTCTTTCTTCCGTTCGAGGAATTTTCAAAATTGCTTGCACTAAACTCGTCTTCGTCTTCTCGGTCTGCCTCTTCCTTGATACTCGAAATGTTGTTGTCTTCATGCTCTCCCTTGTCACCTGGAGAGAAATCATCTTCAAAATGGGATTTCGGCTTTTGGTAGCGAGGTGACAACTTCGAGCTAGGTCTAGGCCGATCATGAATACTGAAACAAGGAAATACCCATTAAGTGATTTGGTTAAAAAAAAAACCGACTTGCAGGAAGTAAAATCTAAAGTTGAAAATTACGTCAACACGAAAGTGAAAAAATGATGAGAGATTATTAATACCCGTGCCAATTCTTTTTACTATAAAGTTTGACGTATTAAAAATGTACATTGTAACCCAGAGAAATATTTTGATGAAAAAATAACAGAAATTGAAAAATATTGAAAATGACAGGGTTGGTAACATCTCCTATTGCGAGTTTATGTCTAAATTGTAGTTGACCATTACGGAGTGTAAAGGAAAGGAGAACTATCTGTGTTACAAAAGTATCCCTAAAAAAAGTAGAAAATTAATATGGCGTTAGCGTCCCAGACTACCGTTATTAAAGAATGCCCAAAAATTTAGATCACACCAATGACGTATATATGTAAATAAGACTTCGAAATGCGGGTTGCTATATTGCCTTTACAAGCACTCACTGAACAAAAGCGTTCTGGCCCAAATGTATTTTAAAATAAAATTTCAGCATTTGAATATTTAAAACAAAAAAATTAGGTACCAGATATTTTTTGTGTAAAATAAAGTTGAGTTTCCATAATAATCAAATAATAACAGATCTAAACAATTTTTATAACACATAGATGTAAACATAGGCGCTGACTAATGTTGAAAATTATGAAATTGGTTACGAAAATTTCATTATGTCACGTTGCGAAAAGAACACAGTTAAAAATAAACATTTTTTGGTTTTAAAATCAATAAATACAATGTCATTGAAAGTTTATATCAAAGAAGGACAGGTTGACATATAAAAGAATTAGGTTAAACTTACAACTTGGTAATAATGTAATTTTATTCTTTATTTTTCATTTTAAATCAGCACAAAATAATTAAAACACAGTACACGTCAAAATAACGCACTTTTTTGAAAACTAAATAACTTTACAAGCAATATAAACACACAAGTCGTTGAGAATAAATTAATATGCTATTTGTCAATAAAAAGTAACATTGGTTGCCTAGATGCCGCTAATGTTTTACCAAAACACATTTTTATCAATAATATAGTCAAAATTATGTATTGCTGATGAAGATAAAAAAATTCCTTTAGTATCCAAACAAGCCTGTGGTTCAACTACAGGATAAAATTTAATTTAGCGACAAGTGTTTAATAATAATAATAATAATAATAATAATAATAATAATAATAATAATAATTTAATACTAAATTAAAACTTATATAAACGAATATTCAGTAATTTTACTTATTTTTAAGAAAATTGATAACATTCTGTTTGAACATAATATATAAATTTGTGGAGTATAACTCAACCTGATTACATGATTTATTGAATTTGTTACGCATTGCAAATATAGGAGATTTTGTGAACACATTTGTGATTGGAAATGGTAAATAAAAACAATTCATTTCTTAAACCTTGGTATATTGAAATTAAGTTGCGATAGAAGTTGTGGGAAGTCAATAAGGCCATGTACCAACTTATAATAAAATATGTAGGAATAATACATATTATTCCTCGGCAAGTTACGATCACTTCTAAACACGTTAATAGTTGTTTCTAAACAGCTCCGAATTTGATACATATCGTCGCCCTCATCACGAAGTGGCATAAGTAGCAAATAGTAAATTTTACAGGAAAGCAATAAAACGAAAATACGTAATTTTCAGGTCGACATAATATAGAGGGATTTAGAGTTTGCGCTTTCAAAATTTTATCAAGGATTGCTAAGGCCTTGTTTTATTGTTTGGTAATTCCAGATTAGCCAAACTCCCTCGGGAATTTTTAGAATAGTTCGTGAGGAAAATAGTCTGCGTTATTGCAGATAGGACACATAAGTAATATGCTGTATTGCACGTATTATTAAGGTTGTAGATGTGCCACTTCGTGAGATGATAAAGTAGGTCAAGACTAGTTAATCCACATAAAAAAATATTTTTTCAATTTTTGTTGGTTAGGTCACTTCGTGATAAGGGCGACGATATGATTGAAGCCAAGTTTCGGTTATGGCTATAAGGTGGTACTCGGATAAGGACGTTGCTTTACAGACTTCAGAAGTTTTAAAATTTAAGCCTCTAGTATTTTGGTAGTAACAGTACATATCATGATTTTAGTATTTTTTTACTATTATAGGGTTTCCATTGTGGTAAACAATTTTCAAACATTCTCCATTTTTAATGTGATCATTCATGTATAATTGCTTTTAGGTTTTTAAAATACTCAATGTGACGAGGGATTTTATCAGAGGTCATGACAATAATGTTTGAAGTTAGTGTTCTGTTTGATGGGTTTAATACTTTTAATTAGAGATATAGTGCTACATCTACAGACCCCTTTGATATGTCTAGGTAGGGATACATTATCACGTTTTATTTCCAGGCGGAATGTTTTGTCAACATTTTTTGCGAAATCATTATGAATGTTGAGAATTTTGAGAATTAATTGAATTTGGATCCCATCATAGTTTGCCTATAATTTTCAGTTAGGCCAAAAATGACAATATTGTTTTTCCTGGACTATTGATCTGTCAGTTCGATCATGTTATCCTTTAGAACTTTTTCAATATTTCTATAAAATATACGAGTTATGACTAATATTTAAATATTATTCTAAGTTGTTTTACAATCCATAATGTCATGGATCAAATGTTGAGTGTCATAAAAAATCAATTACAGCCAAGTGCAACATATGCTCAGGCTGGTTGCACATGGATTGTGCCAACTTAACAATTGATGAAATTCATTTCTATGCTGATGAATTGAAGGACTCCAAAGGCAAACGAATTCTATACTATAAATGCAACCTCTCTAATTCGGATGGTAAACAACAAAGTGTTGTAAATAGTTCATCTTCAAAAATTGTCAACAACGATGAAGATAGACTTTTTGAGAAAATAAAACTACTTGGATTCAAAATTACAATGCTAACTTTCTCTCATTCAACAGGAAAATAAAAAATATTCAAGAAAATTTGAAGAGAGTTGAAAAGGAACTAGGTGCCCTAAAAGAAACTTAAGGTGAAAATAGATTCCCCGATTATAAACGATCAGAACCGTGAGGAAACACACACACACACACACACACACACACACACACACACACACACACACACACACACACACACACACACACACACACACACACACACACACACACACACACACACACACACACACACACACACACACACACACACACACACACACACACACACACACACACACACACACACACACACACACACACACACACACACACACACACACACACACACACACACACACACACACACACACACACACACACACACACACACACACACACACACACACACACACACACACACACACACACACACACACACACACACACACACACACACACACACACACACACACACACACACACACACACACACACACACACACACACACACACACACACACACACACACACACACACACACACACACACACACACACACACACACACACACACACACACACACACACACACACACACACACACACACACACACACACACACACACACACACACACACACACACACACACACACACACACACACACACACACACACACACACACACACACACACACACACACACACACACACACACACACACACACACACACACACACACACACACACACACACACACACACACACACACACACACACACACACACACACACACACACACACACACACACACACACACACACACACACACACACACACACACACACACACACACACACACACACACACACACACACACACACACACACACACACACACACACACACACACACACACACACACACACACACACACACACACACACACACACACACACACACACACACACACACACACACACACACACACACACACACACACACACACACACACACACACACACACACACACACACACACACACACACACACACACACACACACACACACACACACACACACACACACACACACACACACACACACACACACACACACACACACACACGAACTCTTGTATATAAATAATGGCTGTCATACACAATAACAACGACATATCAAGCGTTTTCATTGATTCATATTTCAATGAGTGATATAGTCAGCGATAATTCATTACAACATTGTCAGATTGTTAGAAAGGGTACCCCCAAGGGTAATATAAATTTAGTAAAGATCTGATGATGGAATACATGAGAAAATCATTCAACTCTTAATTTTTGGAATCGGTTTTTTAAAATTACTTTTATAACTTGTAACAAATATCATTAGAATACAATTTGAACACAATAGAAAGATTATATAAAATAATAATTAGGTAGGTATCTGTAACGTGTGGAGGGTGGGTTACCCCACGGCACTTATGCCAATGTGCATCCTCCTAAGATGATAGGCACCTCTTAGCTCTTGAGCCAGCCTACAGATTTAATGTAGTTGTAGTTGGCTGCTTTCTTGGCTAGTGAATCAGCACTGTTACCTTTCGATGTGGCGTAACCTTTGATCCATCTCAAGGTGACCACATTGTTGATGGATACTTCGGCCAAAGCTTTGTGACATTCTAGTACTAACCCTGAGTAAATTCGTGTTCTGTTCAGGGTGAATAGGGCTTGTCTGCTATCTGTATAGATGAGCATGTTCCTTCCAGTGATACCCCGTGAGCTCTAATTAGGTAGGTATATAAGTAACAATTGTGTGTTATTAACTAAATCTACTTAACAAAAATACTGTAACGTTTGTTTGATTTATTTATTTATTTAAAATACTTTATTTATAGTTTATTTATAACGTACTAATTAATACTTTAGCACTATTATAACTCACAATTATAATTTATTTATTGCAATTTATATGTTCTGTCTAACACTTAAGTTGAATCTTCCCGTCCGTCGATAAACTCGCGCTATTTATATAAAGCCAGCTTAGTACCAACACTCTCTCGGC